TCAAGCATTAAATTGATGCTGTTCTGCAGGGAAGCCTTTGCTCTATGAGTAGTGGAATCAAGAGGAATTACTGCTATCTCCTGACTGAGTGGATGCAGACAACCATCTCTCTAGTGGCTTTCTGCCTCCTTCAATCCCAATTCATGTTAACCTCTGCAGAATTTTCTTTCCAGAGCCAGCCTCTCTTGCTCCCGTAGATTAACTCTCTCATTTGTCCCCTGGGGACCAATTATGGACACAGCAGAAGAGAGCCTTCTAGAACAACAGTGTTAGAGAGTCCGGTGCTTCTGCTGACCACCAGTCTGGCCCAAAGGAAAAAGAGCAGGCCAAAGGGGTGTAAAGCTGCCAGAGAAGGTTTCAGAATATTTTAACCTGTCTCTGTTTTTAAGAATATCAAGGAACCGATTCTTGTTTGGTTTGTATACTTGACTACGTGAGAGCACTTGTGTAGACAGGATGGTTCATATTGTCACTAGCTGTTTATTAATAACAACGTAACTTAGAGCCCTCCTTTTCTTAAGGACATTACTGGTGCACTTACTGGTTTGTTATGTGAAAGGACGCCAATGGCTGGATCCCAGGGCCTCTTCAGCAAGAGGGACAAGGCCTCGGCACCTGCCGCGCCCGTCTTTGCAGTTGAAGATAACAGCATCCGGTCAATCAGGGAGGGAATCTGAAACCCAGCAACAATGCAGGCTGTGGAAGCCCAGATTTTTTTCTGAACCACCTACTTTTTACTTTGCTGGCACACATCATCCTCTCCTTATTTTTAAGCACCCTTCTTATGCTCCGCCAAATGAAAAAAGAACCCACCTCTCTTGGAATGAACAAGATCATTCTCTGGAACATACATTTCAAACCATTTTTCATCTACTCTTATGAGGACATCAATTCCTCTTTTGGGGTATTTTGTTTACACTTAACACCCTCCCATTGGTGCCTTCTCCTCATCAATCAATTCCACCTCTATGTTACAATGCAAAACATGCCACTGGCACTTTGGGTTCTACTGTCAAAACGAGAGGATTTCCTTTACAGAGGAAACCCTAGAATAAAAGGCACGGAAAAACCAGCCACTCGCCCACTTCTCAACACTTTGCACCCATCACCTTTCCCTTGAGAGTCTGCAGAGCATCCAGATACGCAGCCAGCATTGGCAAACTGAGCGTTTCTACCAAAGTTGAGTGGAGCCACTGGATCAGCTTGGTCTCCCAACTGATGCTTGCCAAAGCCTGTCGGACCCGCCGAGCACATTTGTCCACCGCTATTCTTCGAAGCACTGGCTCATTGCAAGCCTTGTGAAAAGCAACCAAGAAAAATCCTCATTAAGTTATGGTATCACAGCATTTCAAGCTTAGTGGTAAACAGAACCATCCAGATTCAACTGGATAAAATATAGGAGTAAACAAAATATGGATACACTTCATATTCTGAGCAGCTACAAGCACAGAACTTAGGGAAGACGGGGAAAATTAGCAAGAGCCAGGAGATTCTTACCCCTTCATTAGCTAACCGGGCCAGTCGGTCAGACTGCAAGGCTTTGAAGATCTTATTAAACAGCTTGTTTTGGGCCATTGTCCAGCCAGATCTGTAAAGGAAAGATTCCATTATGAAGTCCTGCTCCTGTAGAAATCAGGACTGCATTAGAAGTCTCTAACTCATGCTTATATCAGACTAACAGAAAATCTACTGCCCTTGTTTTTGGAAGCAAAGACAAGGAAACAGCAAGCTTACACCTTCAAATACTCAACGTTTGCTGTGCATCTAAATGTGGAGAATTATGGTTTATTTAAACCTGGAGTGACTTCTACTGCCTTGAGGCATTGCTGGCACCTTGAGAAAGTGATCGCAATGCTCCCATTGACCTATCCCAACTAGATGATAGGACTGGGCCTACCAAGTGGGAGGGCAGCTCCAAGTGTCAGTTCCTAAAGCAGCAGCATCCTCTTCACAGCACATGTGGGTTTGTGCACGGACACACCCATCCCGGAGGAAGCCCACAGCCAGGCACGTCGTGGCAATGAAGAATTTTCCATTTAAATATTAGAAGTACATTTAAAGTATTTTTCTCCAGAGTAGCACAGCTACATTAAATTGTACTGATTCATTTAATACATTAATATCCCACATTTCTTCTGTCATGGAAGAAACTGTAAGGGCTGCAGTTGGTAAGGCAGGAACTAGCAATTCCCAGGTTACTGAGAACACATTTTCCAGGTTCAAGGCTTCTTACTTCTAGTCGAAGTAAAAGATTGTGGTGTTTCCTCTGATGGGAAAAGTGGGAGGAAGAGACTACAATTTTAATCCGGGAGTAAACATTTACAACAAGCGTTTCTGCATTCTGTAGGAGACAGATCTCATGACTTCATGACTCTTGTACTGGCCTCTAATACAGAGGTCCCCAACCTTTTGGGCACCAGGGACCGGTTACATGGAGAGAGATATTTCCGTGCACCGGAGGGTGTATGGTTTTGTGTGCTGCCTGAATCTCGTGGATGGGGCTTTGCTTGTTTGTGCGGCCCGGTACCGGTCCACGGACCGGGGGTTGGGGACCCCTGCTCTAATGAAAAAAATTGTCTAGCCATATCATAGTTGTGAGGCTTCTGCTATAACCCCATTCCTGAATATGTGTATTCCCAGTCTGAGGATACACTGTCATGGCTGGCATGAAGTTTTACAAACTCAAATCTGATCCTAAGGCATTGACTGCTTTAAAGGTCAAACTGCTAGAGCAGTTTGATAAACACATCACTGCAAGAGGGAAGGTTCTGGCAGAAGAGGCATGCTGTGGACAAGGAATTCCAGCTGGGGGAGGGGGTTTGCAGAAGCGCTTTTTCTGCCATGATTCTTTCTCCCCCCCCCCCCCCCGGAATCATGCCCCTCAAGATGAGGCCTGCTCCACCTTCTGGGTCTTCTGAAAAAGCCATTAAAAGTGGTTTTGCTGATTGGCATGGGACCCCAATGGGCGTTACTTTGCTGGAGGCAGTTAGCGGATCCACCCTCACCCCATTGTATTCTGGTTCCTAACATCCAAGTTCTGTTAATTGTAGTATTTGTTTGAATGTTTTGTATTTTTTTTATGATGTCGAAAGCTGTCCAGAGTTGTCTAATAGTGAGATGGGCTGCATACAAATTTAATAAATAAATAAGAATCAGAGTGAGATAATAAATACAAAATGCTTGGTCTTTGTGATGACATCCAGAGACTACAGTGCCGACCTAGGCTTATATGTTCCAAAAGAACCAGGCCGGTCTCTCTTGGCAATTTTCTTCCATCCCTGGTACATTTCCAAGCTGAATGCCACCACCTCATCTATTCAAAGGGAAACTGTCTGTGGTTTTGGGAACTACCTTTTGATAGACTCTTCCTACTGCTAGTTTTTCATTTGCTGCCTAGGATAAAAGTGTTCTGATCAAACCTTCCTGCCTCTTTGGCCTATGCTGAGTAAGTCTCAATCTTCCATCATTCATATATGTTCATTCACATAAATATATGGAATAAAACTACACCTTATCAGTTTAGCATGATTTTATACGATGAGTGGAGTTATACTTACCATACACTGTCATTATAATAAAACACGAATCATCAACATGATTCGCATAGTTCAGAGTATAATCTGAGATGACAAGAAGAATCTTTTGAAATTCAAAATAAATTTATGAACTCTAATATTATATATCCCCAAATTACACTCAGGATCAGAAACAGCAGCATCAAGGTAGAGATAACATCAGCAGTTGTAATGATTTTCTTCTCTGATTCCTGCCACTCATTTTTATACCTGTTCATATGTTCCTCCCAGTCATCAGGTGGAGGAGGTGTATCAGTATCTGTACGGGCAAAAATCACATGGCGTTCACACTCATTCATCACAGTTCGGGCTTTCTGGTTGTCATAGAGGGGCACGGGTGTTGGTGTAACTGTTTCTATGTCAATAGGAACATCTGCCTCTCTGAAAAGAGATATTGCAGTTTTAAGACAAAGAGCATTTTGTAATCATCTGTTCCTCTTTAAGGGCTTATGAGCTTGAAGGAAATCATCACACAAGCAATACATACAGTACTCAAAATAACATGGGCCCAATAAGTATGGTCTAATCAAGTATTGGTTTCATAAATGTTCAAGTCAACATGGAAGGCAAAGAAAGAAAGAAAGAGACAACTCACGCAGTGCTGTTATCCTGATGTCGTCTGGGAGTCACAAATAGCAGGCGTGTGGGACGAGCATTACTGGCATCGGGGTGGGCACTCCATGGCTTGGCATAGCTGTGGTCCAGGAAGACCAAGTCTAGTTCCCTCTCATGGACCGACAGCTGAAAAAGCAAAGAGGTCCCCATCCTCCGTGCTGAGGTTTGAAAATCACGCTCATTCCCTCGATAAGACATGTTTCACTCTGTGTTTAGCAATGGCACAACCTGCTCTCGAAGCTGCACATCATTCTGTCTGGAAGGGAAGGAGAACGAATGAGCGAGCAGCCTGAAAAAACACAAGCCAGGGCTGTGTTCCCTGTGGCCCTGGCTTGTGTTTATTTATTCATTTATTCATTAATCACTGACCACTACGATTCTGAAGTACTCTATGCAATTTCAAGATAAAATGTACAATGAAACAGATTGTAAAATATAAATTTTTAAAAATAGCATACAATTAGTAACAAAGCCAAACTATAATCCAACCAGAGGGAATCACAACCCAAATGCCTTCTAGAAGAGCCGCGAACTGAGGCCCATTGGAAGAGCTTTGCAAAGCACCAGCCTTACCCTGCCCAAGCAATGCGCCTGAGCCTCCTCCCCCTGCCAAGTCAAATTGGCTGGACAAATCCCAGTGGAAGAATCTGCTCCAACAAACCAAGTCATGCAGGGCTTTATAGATTAACAGCAGCCCTTTAAGTTGCACCTAGGAGCAACTAGGCAACCAACGTAGAGTCGGCAGCACCGGTGTAGAGTTTCTGCTGGCGAATACGTTAGCCCAGGGGCCTCTGCACTCACAATCGACTGTAGCCTTTGTGAGGTCTTCAAAGGCACCTCCATGTACGACACTGCTGCAAGTGAAGACAAGGTCCTGCTGCTCCAGCAGCCTCAACCAGCCCACCAGACAAAGCTGGACGGGGCCTTTTTGGCCACAGCCTCTAGCGCCGGCTATGCTTGCAGGAGCTGTCAGTCCAAAAGGACCCCCAAGTCCAAGATCTGCCGCCTCAAGGTTGGTGCCAATCTGTCGAGCAAGAACCCCGGAGCAGGCACAGTAGCCGGCTTTGCTTAGGGATATCTCGTCCAGACCCTCGCAGCCTCCAGGGGCCAAAACAGGACCCCAAGGGCCCCAGAATGGCCTCGAGTAACAATCTAAAACCGGGTCTCGATGGCAGCAACACCCCCCCCCCCATTATTGGACCCCCTTTCCCATTTAGGCTTCGTGGGAGGGGGGGGCAGACCGACCCTTGCAGTGCTCAGCGAAGGACACCTCGCGCTGCGCACAGCAGCCGGCGGTGGGTCCCGGCTCTGCGCCTCTAGATCCAGGAGGCAGCAGGTCAAGCTGGGCCGGGCCCGCGGGCGGGCGGCCGGGCGATGAGGAGCCGCGGCGCCTCCAGAGCTAGCAGGACGCTCCCGAGCGAAGGGACGGCGCGCCCGCTCCCAGATCTTCCACGATCGGCCGCCCCAACCCCCGGGCCGCCGCCGCCGCCGCCGCCGCCGCCGCCCCTTCGGAACCGGGCCGCGCCAGAGGCGGCAGCTCTATTGGCAGGCGCGCCTGCCGCTCGCGGCGGGGAACCCTTTCCTCGCTTCCCCTCCCCCCCGGCCGGTCCGCAGAAAGGTCGGGGAGCGCCGTCCTCCGGGCGCCAGCCACACCCGGCCCCCCTCAGGCGGAGGCGGCCCCAGGAGGACCGCAGGGCGGCGGGCGCCCAAGTTGGAGCCTGGAAAGCCAAGCCGGGCGCCTCCCCCGCCCGGCCGGCCGGCCCGCCCGCCGGCCACAGCCCCGCTCCTTCCCCGGCGCGCCTGAGCATGTGCAAACTGCAGGCCCCTCCCGGACTACAGTTCCCGTCAAGGACTACACCACCCCCTCCCCAGCGGAAGCGCCTCTCACCTGCTTCCCAGCCGAGCAGGGCGGTGACGCCGCCACGGCGGGACAGGCCCGGCCAGGCCTCGCGCTTTTGCGCACGCGCGAGGCGGCGATGGCGTTCAGGTCCGGCGGCAGGCTGGGCGCGCGGGCCGGGAGGCTGAGCCTCCCCTTTCAGGCCGCAGAACCGCTTTCCAGGCCAGAGGAGCAGGCCGACGGCGGCTGGGCGCATGCGCGCTACCCCGGCCAGTCTGCAGGCGGCGCTGCGCGCGGCGGGAGCAGCGGAGTCGGAGTCCCTCGGGTGCCCCTCCTGCGCCCCAGCGGTTGGCAGGGCCGCACCGGAAGCTCTGGGTCTGCCCAGGGCCGGAAGACGGAAGCGGCGGAGGCCGATTCTCCCGGCCAGCCGCACCAGGGCGGCGGGCGGGGCGAGAGCGGCGGAGACCGGAGGGGAGCCATGGGGAAGCGGAGGACTGGCTTGCCGGACAGGTGAGCGGGGCGAGGCCCCTCTGGCCCGGGGGTGTCGGGGGAGGGGAAGCGCTTCCCCGGGAATCGACTCTGCTGCCCGTCCTCCAGCCTTGCTCTCTGCCGCTGAGCGAGGCGGTGCCTTGCAGCGGCGATTTCCCGCCCGCGGCCGCTTTATCGGGCAGCGCCGGCGCCTCTCCTCCCTCGGTCTCCGTGATTAGGCAGGCGAGGCGGAGGCTTCGAGTCGGAACTGCCGGGTCCGCGCTTGATCCTGTAACCCCTCCAGGGTGGCGTCCAATGAGCCGTTCAGTGTATTTGCGTCAAATCTACCCAACTTCAGACACCCTCCTGGTTAATTTCAGGCCAGGCAAAAAAAACCCCCCAGGATTAAGTTCCGGATTTACCAGTCCCATTAGTGTTCTGCAGCTCCTTCTTTCCTTCAGGGGAAAGGGCAAGGCTGCAGCTGAAGTGCACTGAACCATTCAGTGGCGGGGAGCCCAAAGCCCCCCTGAGCTGGATGGGCTGACCTGGCAAGACAGATCCATCAGCTGGAAGTGGTTTTCATGAATCAGGTGCAACAGAGTGTTTCCTTTGGAAATATATCTACCTGCTCAGAAAAAAAGACAAAAATAGTTTGGGATGGTAGAGATAATTTCAGGGAATAACATTAATAATTTGATTTCTAGTTTGAAATGAGAGTTTGATAGCTGTTTCTAAGAGTGCCTACATTTGAAATGTATTCACTGCCTCAAGAGTTCTCAGTTTCTATGTTATCCTTCCTCACTGCAACTCTGTCCTAATCACATTGAAGCAAAAGCAATACATTGTGAAGTTTCCTTTCTAGATGGACTGATTATCTGCCTCTTGGAAAAAGAATGCCTGGGACGCGCTTCATTGCCTTTAAAGTTCCTCTTAGGAAGGTAAGTAAGGTGAAGAATGTAGTCACTCAATTGCTTTGATTTCAGTGCCTTTTAAAGATAAAAATGTCACTTTGGGGCAGGTGATTTGCTGGCACTATGTCAGTAATTTGTAGATTTCATGTAGCTTTAACAAAGTGTACGTTTTTAAGATTTTTTGCCCAAGGAAAGCAAATATTTTGAAAGCAATTTTAAATTAGTGAATTTGTTAGCTACAAAGTCAAGTAGAACAAAGTGTCATAAAAGTAGTCTAAATAAATTTATCCAGACATTGATGGACGCTACAGGTATTTTGGATTCCACAGAGTAAATTTGATGGGCAGAATCCACAGGACGGGCATACAAGAGTCAAATAATAAATAGTTGTTTCCAGGGAAGGAACATGGTGGGTCAGAGCTGCCTCTTAAATCAGACTGCAACCAGCTGTCGTCAGCCAAGAGGTTGCTTGGTGAGAAGCTTCATAGAACATTTCTGCTTGCTCTTTGTTCTGCTTGGGGGGAGGGGGCCTTAACTCATCTGATTGCTCTAGGTAATGCCTGTTTTTGATCAGCCTCATGTGATTCTTGGCTTGATGTCTTCTGAATCTGACATTACATAGGTTCAGCTGGAGCAGCTTCCTCAGAATTGGAGTCTGAGGCCTGGGAATAACACTTCTCTGCCATCTTGGCCATTCTGCACTCCAGAGCTACAAGGGCAGAGATGGGAGGGAACTAGGGTAGGCTGTCAAGGGCCTTGCAAGGCCGGGCGTACCTTGTCAATGGCAGGAAGAAGATGGCAAGGTCAGCTGGGAGCAGTATTGAGATGGGGGGGGGAGAGATGGGTGAGGGGAAGTTGAAGTGCATGTTGTGGTTGTAAGTGTGGGCAGGCTGCCAAGTGCCCAAAGTTTGATCGCATGATTGCAGGGGCACTGGAATGACTGTAACTACAATTCGTTCATTAGTACCATAATTTTGAACATTTGCTGAACATTCATTAAGTGAGGGCTATATGTAGTAGGGCTAAATTAGTTGTGAGGGCTACATTAGTTGTGTCATATAGAAGTATTTCTTATTGACCACTCATTCAGCGACTGTTCAAAGTTAGGATGACACTAAACAAGGAGACTTAAGGTTGGTCCTTAAAGTTGTGGCCATTGCAACATCCCTGCAATTATGCAATTGTGAGTCAGGCAATTGACACACAATTTTAATGTTGCAGCATCCCACAGTCATGTGATTGCTATTTGTGATCTTCCCTGCCAGCTTCCCACAAACAAAATCATAAGTTGCAGTTATGCGACATTGCGCTTAATGACTGTGATTAGCTTAGTAACTGCATGATAGGTCAGTGCAGTCACATGATTTTTCACTTTATGACGATTATCAATGATGGCGGTCCCTTCCAGATTATAGTTGTTAACTAGTTGACTGTACTCAAGTTACACAAGGTTATGCAAATACGGCTGTGCTTGGCTTCTGATATGTATCAGAGTATCTTGACAGTTTAGCAGCAACACTGAATAATCTTTTTTCAGAGTTTTGAATGGAGGCTTGCCCCAGATGAGCGCTTCTCTCCCTCAGACCTTATCACTCAAGTGAAAGAGCAAAAAGAGGAACTTGGTTTGATCATTGATTTAACATACACAACACGCTACTATGAGCCAATGGTAAGTTTCCTTTAACAGGGATAAGTTATATGATCTTAATTCTTAATACAGTCATTGCTTTGGGATTATAGGTCCAAGAAGATTGTTCTGATATTGTATAATCTAAGGTGAGCATTCATGATCATTAGCCTTGTCATTGTTTGCCTGCTCTATTGAGCTCATTTATTTTTTTCTTAAGTGGCTGTTTGGGTATTCATTTCAATTATTTCAAGTGCTTTGCATTTTTTTTTAGGAGCTACCAGAAATGCTACAATATTGTAAAATTTTAACAGTTGGACATGAAGTACCTAATAATGCTATAGTTTCTAAATTCAAAAGCGCTGTGAAAAAATTCCTCAAAGAGAACCAGCATAATGGTGAGTCTGACTGGATGTGCAAACATTTTGATTTAGTAACAGAATTTTTGCATTAAACCCCAAATATTCCATTCCTAAACCTGTTTGTGGACCATTTTAAGGCAGTCACTGTGGAGCAGTTTCTGGAAATAACTTCCCAGTTGGAGGTGGTTTGAGGAGGATGAAACAAATCTGTTTTGGGCCTAGTCCAGCTAAGAAAACTTTAAAATGCTTTCAGTTTGGAGAATTTACTTCCTGAAATAGCTGATTTTAATTATAACCAACACATCAAGATAATACCAAGCCGAAAAGGGTTGGTAAAAACAGAAAGATGTTCTGGAATAATAAAACTGGATACTGAGGATACTTGTACTACTTCAGGAACATATCAGTTAATCCTTTCCTAAAAACTAAGCTGCCACTATTAAATAATTCAATGTATCTCCATTTTCTTAGAGAGTTTCTGCATATTGTACATTGTACTTTTGGGGAAAATCCTGGAAAAATAACGGGTATGTGAACACCTAGAAGCAAGCTTTATACTGCTTTGGTAATGCCACACTTGTAAAATTGTGTCCAGTTTGGGTCACAATGATACAAAAAGATGTTGAGACTCTAAAGAGTGCAGAGAAGAACAACAAAGATGATTAGGGAACTGGAGGCTAAAACATATGAAAAACGGTTCCAGGAACTGGGCTTGTCTAGTCTAGTGAAAAGAAGGGCTAAGGATGACATGATAGCAGTCTTCCAATATTTGAGGGGCTGTCACAGAGAAGAGGGGGATCAAACTATGCTCCAAAGCATCCGAAGGCAGAATAAGGATGAAAAGGAGAGAAGCAACCTAAAACTATAGGAGAAATTTCCTGAGAGTGAGAACAATCAGCCAGGGGAACGGCTTCCCTCCAGAAGATGTGGGTGCTCCATCACTGGGTGTTTTTGAGAAGAGACTGGACAGCCACTTGTCTGGAATGGCATAGGGTCTCCTGCTTGAGCAGGGGGCTGGACTAGAAGATCTCCATGGTCCCTTCCAACTGTTATTCTGTCAAGAGTTCTGTATGTCATTTTTAACGTACACATAACTTACTATTTTTTGCCCATAAATACTACTGCCTCTTGCAACACATAAAAAAAACCAGATATATTCGTTCATGTATAAAAGCCGCTAAAAAGTAAAATCATCTCTGTAGTTGGGCCTTTATAAAGACACCACTTGGATTTCCTATCTCCCCAGACAAACTTATTGGAGTCCACTGCACACATGGCTTGAATCGAACAGGTTACCTTGTTTGCAGGTAAATTTTTCTTAGAAACAAAGTTGATTCAGCTGGTCTGATTTGAAAATTCATATCTGCTGCAGAAATATCAGTTTATGTCTATCTTCAGTTGATAGATTGTTGGATTGGGTTGTACTCGGTTAATTATAATTCCTCTAGAAATTTTTTTTTCCTGTTAGTCTTAATATATAAAGGAAGGAATGACGGGAGAAGAAGACAGGGTTTTTTATTTAGAAAAATTCATAATTGCTTTTTTAGGCAACCCAGATGGCCTGTTTGTCAGAGATCCTAATTTCTCAATAGTTTTGTACCTTAAATCTGAAACTTTGGATTTTTATTTTTGTTAAACGTGCTTCCCAGGAGAGCTTATCCATGAATTCCAAGGGAGAGGAGAGAATTAGTAGACACATTTTTATAATCCTTAATTTGTTAAAATTGAGAAGTATTTTAGAATTAGTTCTTAAGTTGTGCACAGCTACTGAATTTTATATTTCCAAAGAACTAGTACAGGTAATCCTTGACTTATGGCCAGTTGCTTAGTGACAATTTGAAGTCACAGTGGACTTCCTTGGGGCTACTTACGAACTAGCTTCAAAATCCCAATGGTCATCATCCCCCCACTTCCACGCCCCCAATTCTTATGATGACACTTTGGGCTCTTGCCGGCCAGGTTGCATTTACCGCCCGTGGCCCCGTCCAATTGCTCCTGCCCACCCCTGCGTTTCAGTCTTGCTGAAAAGCTGTACTTACTTCTGAGTCTCAGCAAAACTGGCCCATTCTTGCCTACTAGGTTGTAAGCCTCCTGGAGTCGTCTTTTGGCAAGATGGGCGGCATATAAATTTAATAAATAAATAAGTAGTGAAACTTGGGTTTGCTTAACAACCATGGCAGTCACTTTATTACCATGGTGATTGCTTAATGACCACCACAAAAAAGGTTGTCAAAACGGGTCGATCACGTGAATGACCTGATTTACAACCATGATTGATAGGCAGACTCCATTACGGTCGTAACTCAAGGACTTCCTGTATTTCAGTCATGTAATTAGTAGTTAGACTCTTATTTAGTGATGTGTCCGATTCCTCTGTTTCTGTTCGTTTTTAATGCACAGTAAATATTCAAAGTTGTTGTAATCCAATTAATGTATTTTTAAAACAACCAATTTTTAAAAAGTGTTATGAGATCTCATTTCCATGGAGTAATGAGGGATGAGGTCATACAAATGATGCTGTTTATGTTCATTTATCTCATTTGTGTAATTACATCATTGCACAAATATTAATTGACATAAACTGCATAAAGCCTCATTTTATTGGAACTCAGTAAACTGTAAACAGGCTGTTTTCAGCAGACTGAATTTCCCTTTAAATTTACATCATGCAGATAATGTAAATCTGAGAGTGAATTTGTTCTGTTTATGGTCTGTTGCACTGAAGTCTAGTAAATGAGCTTCACTATGTTATAATTTTTTCTTTATGTATTGTTGTTGTGTTAAGATACCTTATTGATGTTGAAGGAATGGATCCAAACATGGCAATAGAATGTAAGTGTTGTGCCCTTAATTGAGAGCACTCTAGTTCAATTCTTTATTGCCTACAGTGTAGCTAATAAGTGTAACAGTTTGCACAGCCAAAAAAAGAAAAGACAAAAAGCATTAAACACTAACAAATAAGCACTGTGAATTAACCTAATTTCTAATGCCCTGCCTTATTGAAATAGTAGGATTATGGGATATGATAACCAAAAAAATAGCTATTAATTGCAGGCATATTTTACAAGCTATCATGCAAAAAATAAACATTTTTTTCAGTTTTGATTAGATATAATATACCGTGTTGGTGATATAATTCATCAGATTATATCACCAAAAAATGTCTCTATGACTACTTTAAGTTATGGAGTTTTTTAAAATTAAAGAACTTCATAACTTTCCCTTTGCCACTAAAATACTTATAAAAATACATAGGAAATTTGAATTGCACTGATAAAGAAAAGGGCCCGCAATGCTTTCTCTAAAGATTTATTTTTCCCATTGCACATAGTGCGGGTTTCTGTAATCTAATACTGGGTCAGCAATAGACTTTATTGCACTTTCCAGTAGGGATATGCAAAACTGATGGCCCTGGTAAAAGTGAAGCATGGCATGTCTTGGTGTTACTTAGAATGTGCCATTGACAGAATGAGATGTTTTGCATAAAACTACTTTCTGACTGACAGTAGTGATCTGGTTTCCATAGAAAACTATCTTATTTATTGTTTATTTATTTATTTATTGTTTATATTTATATCCCGCCCTTCTCCTTGCGGACTCAGGGTGGCTAACAACCAGATAAAAATGCAAATCCCAAAACTACAGATTAAAACATAATTAAAAACAAATATTAATAATTGGTCTAATTAATTTAAAATTACTTTAAAACCCCCATTAAAAATTTTCCCCTAGGCCAGTCCTGCAAGCTGGAATAACCATGTTGGTCTCCATGCTGCAAATTTAGGAGTTTCCCTGAGAAACTCCTGCCTCTGCCTCTGGCCCCATGCCAGGAAATTGCCTGTGGAGATAGAGCAGCTTATTTTGTACAGTAGAGACTCTCCAAGATTCTCTGGAATTAAGATGTGCTGCTGCTTTGGGCTTTGATGAAAATAGTATGTGTAGAAATAAAATCTATAATAGTGGGGCACACAGAACATTAAAGCTATTTTCTCTTTCATAGTGTTCAACAGATGCAGGGGACATTCTATAGAGAGGAAGAACTATATTTCTGCTCTTCAGAAAACATCTGGAACAAGGTAATTCTCTTTTCCATTGTGACTTGCTGAAATGGAACACTCCAACATTTTTTTTGCATTTTGTACTATTGAATTCCTGCCTGTGAAGTTGTGTTCCATAGCTGCTAGCTCTTGCACATTATCCTATAAGCAACATACAAACATATCCCTCACACTGTTTCGGAATGTTACACAAAGTGCAAAAAAAAACCCCTAGTACTAAGGAAAAGAAATAGTCACTAGAGCATAGGAAATCAATTGAATCTAATTTATACAAATGCTACTCATTATGCCTGTCCATATACTAGCGTCACCTTTGACGAGATGGGTGGCTTACAAGTTTGTTAAATAAATAATACTATTCCTCTAAAAATTATCCTGATTTTCCCCAATTCCATCCTTCGCTTTATTTTGCTTAACTTCTCACGCCTTTCTTTTTCGGAATCTATCAACACCATCCAGCCACAGTTTTCTCTACAGATAGTCCTTGGGTTACAACCACTTGTTCAGCATCCTTCAAAAATATGACGGTGCTATACAAGAAGGATATAAATCTGGTCCTCAAAGTTGCATCCATCACAGCATCTGCATAGTCAGATGATTGCAATCTGGGCAATTGGCAACTGGTTCATAATTAAGAAAAGTGAATCAAAATAGCAATTATGTGATCACCATTTGTGACCTTCCCTACCAGCTTCCGTTAAGCAAAGTCAATGGGGAAGCCAGTATGAGGTTGAGAGTCACTCTCACAAGGCTGCTTTTTTGCCTGTCTGTCTGTGCTCCATAGCCCTGACTGCAGTGCTCACCCTCTTGTCTGGACGCTGTAGGATCCACCCATGGCACCTATCAACCCACACTGTAGTGTTTGCCCGCAGCAGCACCCATCCATAATTCTTGCCCACTGGCCTGCTTGCCTGGGATTCCCATGTCATGGTCATGTGATATCCCATTGCAATGAGCAGAATGTGTTAACACATATGGCCAACATATCATTGTCTACTTACAAAGAACATGTATGTTGACATTGCCAGTTGCCATACTATAATCACATTTCTTACAGATTTGTCCATAAGTATATTAAACCATGGGAACATGATTTCCCTGCACATTTTCTCCAAATTGATTAGACCACCTTCATTTAGTTCTTTTACATCATTCCTGTTTCTTTTAGTTTCACAGACACATAACCTGTCTATTTTTTCTCCATTTATTTCATTCCTTAATTCATGCTCTTCCAGGTAAACCAGACAGGAAACAGGATTAGATGAACTAATTCTACCTTGTTGTAAGGCTACATTAACAGAGTCTTGCAAATCACGTTCACACCATCACTTAATCACCTGAACCTAAGTTTCTTTCTCCACCATTAAGCCACTTGGGGTTCCTCCCTCTCGTCTGATTGTTCCCTAAGCAGTATCTCTTTCCTTCCTCCCCCAAGGTCATCCACATGTTCCATTACAACCAGTGACAACATTTACTTTCAGAGTCACAGTTTCCCACTTGCCCTGGTCATCACCAAATCACCTTAGATATTAACTTCCACGGTTCATCATGACTTTGCTCATCCAAGGCTTTCACATAATGCTTGTCATAAAAAAAGGCATAGACTAATTACTTGTTAGAGATAAACACATCCCAGTGCAGCACTTCCTGCTAGTATGTTGGTCAGCTTGAGCACAATTTGCATAACCAAAGCCCAGTTTTACAGTGTTTTTTTTCTATTCTGGGTAAACTAGAACTTTGCTATAGCAGAAACTCCCTGCAATCCAAAAGACTATGCCTAGCATCTAGAAGTTATTGACAAGATACTCTGGACCCCTGAAAGCAATATTTTAAATAACTGTATTTGATTTCCTTACCTTTTTTCTAAAGGAACCATCATATGGCTTGGATGAAAGGGCATGTTGGTCATATCCCAAATCCTGATTATGAAGTTGCTGACTATGAACCACAAAACTGGGAACACGCACCAAGGTTTTTCTTCTTTTATTTCCGTGGATTCAATATAATTCAGTGAAAATAGAGCTTTCTGAGGTTCTGGATATAAAAGTAGGAAAGATTAGGGTAAAGTTAGATGTCTAGAGGCATCTCATTCCCTCCCCAGCCCCCAGAACAGTGCTGAGCCCTTCATGCTGTGTCTTCCATAAGAAACCTTGATTTGTTCTCCAGAGGGAGTGGGGAGAATTGGTAGTTCCATGATCCCCTGCCTCTAGAACTCATTTTCCCTGGAAAACATTTGAATTGCAGAGGGGTCGGTTTGGTCCAGTTTAACATCTTCTTTCCACAAGTTCCCTACCCTGATCACTCAGCTGATTTAGGAGGAGGCCCAGTGGCCGAGTATGTTGGTTAAGGACCCAGGCGGTGGGAGGGACATGGTTTGCACAAAGCAGGCTACTGTTGCTGTGCAGTGGATGGAAGGATTAACCTTCTTCCCTTGGCTTTTTAAAATTACTACAAAATTGTGCAAAATCTTTAACTTGCCAGCCACTACCTATGCGTCTCCTGGTAGATGGTTTGTTTCTGACATCTTGTGATATATACGAGTGAATAAATCCTCGTGTTTAGAACAGTAACCCCAGACTTGAAGTTATTGGGTTGTTGTCACTTTAATGGGGAAGAACCATCTGCTGCATTCTCTATTGACAACATCCTGAGCTTGGGGTTCTCAGCTTGTTTGTATCTCACACATATTGGTTTTTTGTGCTTTGGGTCAATGATTCCTAGTAACTAGTCCCTGCGGTTTTCTTGGCCAGAGGATTGGAAATGGCTTGCTATCGCCTTCTTCTTAGAGGAGAGGGAGAGCAGGTCACCCAGCAAGCTTTGTGGCTAAGGTGGGACAAGAACTCAAGTCTCCTGGTGCATAATCATGGTTTATTGAGCAAGTCATAGCTGTCTTCATCTTCATACTACACATAGATGGGCATTGCTTAGAACAATCATTGCAACCAGTTCAGTTTGTCACAATATCCTAGACAGGCACAGCTACTGTTTTTCCCGGAGGATGGGCTCCAGCACAAGTCTGAAAGTTCTGGTGACTGACCCAGATTGGATCCTAATTACAAACATAATCCATAGTTTACAAACAGCTGGGTCACTAAACCAAAGGGGCCACATCATGGCTTAATGAATCTAAACCCATCTGTTAAGCTCTTACATTCTGTGGTTTATAGCTCATTTTTGTTTTTGCTGAAATGTTGCAAGATATCGTTTGAGAACAGCACGAGGGGATTCTTCTGGGAAATGGCGTAAGATCAGCGTTTTTCAACCTGCGGATTTCAACTCAGGAATTCTGGGTGTTGAAGTCCACAAATCTTAAAGTTGCCAAGACTGAGAAACATTAGCATAGATCACCAATAAAGAGATGCTATCTTCCCTGTGTTTCCATGGAGGCTCTTGTTATATAAAAGTTTATTTAATTATTAAAATTTTATGCTGCCCATCTCCCCTATGAGGTGACTCTGGGCAGCTTATTTTACCAAACTTATTTTCTTAAATTCCATCTTATCACTTAGTCCTTATGCTATAATATACAACTATAACCTCTATGCCTCTGTGTTTATCTAATTCCTAAACGGCTGCGGGAACAATTCTGTTCTCCTTATTGCCTGACCTTATAGTAAGGTCTTTCGATTTTATTTAGCCAATTTCAAATCAGTTGGCTTCTTTTGCTGTGGCTTTGCCATTTCCCAGTCTATGCTGGGGAAAGAAGGTTGCCAGCCTCTCTGCTGGGGTAATAAAGCTGCTGGGCTTTGCTTCAGCTTTTGGCTTGTCCAAGCCAGCTTTTCCTTCAACATCAATTGCCTGCTAAGCTAATGGCTACCCCATTACTCTTCCATGAGACACAAATCTTCTTCTGTCAACACCCACATTCTGGTGCTACCGGTGTTTCTCTTTTATCAGTGGAAACCAGATGTGGCCCAGTGCTCTTCAGATTGCCCTACATTTTCAGGGGAGAAAACGAAGGAAGGATGAGCTCATGTTGGCCACTGCAAGCCCTTCCTTCCCCAAATGCTCCTGTTATTTATGCATCAGCAGTTTTTGCCTTCTTTCTGTTTCAGGCATTTTCCATTTAGGAGAGGTGGACGAAACCAAAAAAGGTAAATTGCAGAGGATTCATGGAAACATCTGTAGATAAAGCATGTATCTCTGGTTGGTCTTAGATGAAGAGGACATCTGCTCCAGGGGTGTTCATGTTGTACCACAATAGGCAGTCATAAATTGTCATGATTTGTGTAATTTAAAACTGCATTGTTATCTTGATTTGGCATAACTATTTCTAGAGTAAGGGTTTCTAGTATCCTTTTTCGACAGTGCTCAGGTGTGAGAGAAAGTATGATTCCTGGAATAAATGCTTTCATGGACTAATTTTAAAATTAATACTGGCTTTTATGCTTATCCATGAGCCATGGTGGTACAGTGGTTAGATGCAGTATTCCAGGCGGACTCTGCCCACTGCCAGGAGTTCAATCCAGCTCAAGGTTGACTCGGCCTTTCATCCTTCTGCAGTCAGTAACATGAGGACCCAGATCATTTGGACTCCAGTAAGGCATTTGATAAAGTAGACCACAACCTACTACTTGATAAGATAGAAAAATGTGGGTTAGACAGCATCACCACCAGATGGATCCGTAGCTGGCTGACCGGCCGTACTCAGCATGTGGTCCTCAATGCATCTACATGGAGGGAAGTATGTAGTGGGGTGCCCCAGGGCTCTGTTCTGGGCCCAGTGCTCTTCAACATCTTCATCAATGATTTGGATGAGAGGATAGATGGGGAACTCATGAAATTTGCAGATGACACCAAGCTGGCAGGAATAGCCAATATTTCAGAAGATAGGCTTAAGATACAGAAAGATCTTGACAGACTTGAACATTGGATGCTATCTAACAAAATAAAATTCAATGGTGAAAAAAGTAAGGTTCTACATTCAGGCAAGAAAAACCAAATGCACAGGTATAGTATAGGTGATATCTTGCTCAATAGTAGCAACTGTGAGAGGGATCTTTGAGTCCTAGTGGACAATCACTTAAATATGATCCAGCAGTGTGCTGCAGCTGCCAAAAAAAGCCAACACAGTGCTAGGCTGCATTAACAGAGGGATAGAATCAAGATCATGTGAAGTGTTAATACTACTTTACAATGCCTTGGTAAGGCCACACTTGGAATTCTGCATCCCGTTTTGGTCACCACGATGTAAAAAAGATGTTGAGACCCTAGAAAGAGTGCAGAGAAGAGCAACAAAGATGATCAGGGGACTGGAGGCTAAAACATATAAGGAACGGTTGCTGGAATTGGGTATTTCTAGTTTAATGAAGAGAAGGACGAAGGATGACATGATAGCCTTCCAGTATCTCAGGGGCAGCCACAAAGAAGAGGGAGTCAAGCTATTCTCCAAAGGCAGGACAAGAAGCAACAGATGGAAACTAATCAAGGAGAGAAGCAACCTAGAGCTAAGGAGAAATTTCCTGAGAGAACAGTTAACCAGTGGAACAACCTCCCTCCAGAAATTGTGAATGCTCCAACACTGGAAGCTTTTAAGCTGAGATTGGACAACCATTTGTCTGAAATGGTATAGGGTTTCCTTCCTGAGCAGGGGGTTGGACTAGATGACCTCCAAGGTCCCTTCCAACTCTATTATTATTATTATTAGATTGTTGGGAGCAATGACTGTGTAAACCGCTTAGAGTTGTAAAGCAGTGTGAAAGTACTATTATCTAGCAGGCTGACAGAATGCCCCAACACAGGCTTCCTAATTTGTGTGGTTAACCAAGTTCCAGGAAGTGATAAAGTGCAACAAAACAACTGTACACTTTTGTATATGCTGTTATTGTCCACTAAGAAGAGCTGGCTCCTGGTGACTTGTCAAGACTTCTTCCTAGGGTGTGCAGACATTAGTTGCCCAGTCATCAGCCAGCCCCCATGCTTAAGGCAGGACAAGAACCCCTGGTCTCCTGGCTTCTAGACAAGCAGCTTAACCACTGGACCAAATTGGCACTGTTATATTAATATGCAAATTGCAGCAAAAGTTGCTGTACTTTTAATTGTTGCTGCTTCCCTGAATAAAAGTATAGTAGTATGAAAAGAACTGCCTTTGAGATGAATCTGTAATGATAACTCTATCAAGCCTTAATAGAGCCTTGGCATTTACTAATAATTATCAGCAACATTATTTTCTGCTTTAAAGCCTAAACAGCATGGGGTTCATCCACTGCAATTTGAACCATTAAGTTCAAAAGCTTAAGTTGTGGGCCAAAAGTTAGCACAAATTATTCAGGATCAGTTGTTCTGCCCTGAAATTTAATGCTTTTTATTTAAGGAGACATTCTCAAATCTGGAACCAGAATCTCATCACCTGTTACAGTGAAGGGAACCAAGCTTACAATCCACAACACGCAGCCAACAGCATGCATCAGAGATCAGGTCATAATGTCAGGCCCAGCAATAAGCCGTTCTTCTCCCAGCAACAATTTCAAGGATATCAAAGACCCTCTTTTCAAGAACTAAATCCTCATGGCTCCCTGCAACAACATAGAAGTCAAATAGACAAACACTATTGGATCCCTTAATCATGAAAAAGTATTTGGCAAGAAAAGATAATCTGTGGAATTGATCCTTAAATTACACCGTTGCTGTTTGGATAGAATGCTTCCTGAGTTGCATCCAATTCTACAGTTGCCACCTCATCATTTAGTTGCCTTTTTGGAAGGAAGAGGAAACTGGAAACCTGATACATATTTCCAACAGAAGGATTCTGTTAAGGATATTCAATTAATTCACCCAAAATGTTTTCTTCTTTTATCATTTGAGGAAATATCTTTATAGATATTGCTGTTTAGATATTAAATAAAATTTATTGTTTCTCAATACAGTACAGTGTACTAAAAATGTCTTCACAAGGAAGCTGGTTTTGTTCTTTTGAGGTTGATTTCTACCTTTACTGATGCATGAGGTTCAAACTTGTAAAAGATATTCAAAGCTACATTGTGATTTAGAAAAAATTCTCAGCCCTTTAGCATTAGTTATGTGGTCTGGTATAACCTGGGAGGCATCAGGTTGCTAATCCCTGATCCCATTGGTAAGCTCTATAGGGGTAGCTCTTTTGAAACTAAAAATGTTATTATTCTTGAATTAATCATGAGCGCCTATATGTAATTGAAGTACAGTAGATGGAATTATGAGATGCATTTCCTGCTGGGAGAAAAGGAGTGTGCTTAAGACTTAGAACTTGTGGTCTGGAAAAAGCATTACCTGAAATATAGATAATACCATTAAAATAGAATTTGCAGCCCTTCATTGCAATAGAATACATTGTAATAGACAAACTTTATTTTGGTAATTGACCAGTAAAAGTATGTTTAATAAAATGAACACCACAAAACTATCTCTTAGCAACTATTTGTGAGCAAAGCTTATATATAATGTAGCAATATTTTGATATTTTTAGAGAGAAATTGTCCTGAATTATGGGTATACTTTTATACTAGGTGTTGCAGCATCAAAGCATGGTCTAATATTGAACATCCTGTTATAAACCCAGCCTAGTCATCCCATTGAATGTTTTCAGTTTCAGATAGTGCAAATTAGAACTGACGGGGGCTTTTGGCCTTTGCCTTTTGGTTCAGTTTTTAGCCTTCTCATGGGCCTGTGTTTGATCAGGGAGCACAGGAAGCCAGAGTCAGCCAAACAGAGAGCTGCCCGACTCCCAAAACGTAAACACGCTTTGCTACATCCTCGTTCTTCACGATCGCTTTCGGGGCTGGGAACTCCATCATCGGGGGATGCGATCTTTAAGCAAGGCGCCCCCTGACCCTGCTTTGCACTTTCGCTCTCCGGGAAGGCGGCAAGTGGTCACCGGGCAGCTCTCGAGGAAGTCGCGGGGGACTGAATCTGGAGAAAGCTCCGAGCCCCCCCCCCCCGCCGCAGGCCTCGCCCGGCCGTGTTTACTTTCCCACGAAGCCTTCTCGAAAGAAAAAAGTCATCCCGGCCCGGTTGCGGCTTTTCGGGAAGCCCTACGAGACACGTCCCGCCCCACCGAGGGGCCCGGGCGCCGCGGAAGCCTCAGCCAGGGAGCGCGGCCGGCCATCCGGCACTCACAGGGAAAACTTCCGGGTTGACCTTCGTAACCGAAGGAAGCGGAAGTCCCTCGGCTCAACTTCCGGCCTCATCTCAGTGTCCGAGAGCTGGCCTAGAGAAGCCGGAAGCGACTCTTGCGCGGTTCTGTGGCGGCCCGTTGCCGGCCGGGAGCTTCTGTGCAGGTCAGTCGGCGGGAGCGGGTCGCCTTTCGCCTTTCCTCCCGCCGCCCCAGGACAGCAGGCAGGGCGGGCCCAAGTGGCTTCCGGGGCGGTGGGCGAAGGGCTTCTCGGGGAGGAAGAGAACAGAATAACAAAGGGACCTTGGAGATCTTCTAGTCCAGCCCTCTGCCCAGGGCAGGAGAGCCTAGACCAGGGTTAGGGAACCTTGGCTCTGTTATAACTTGTGGACTGTCGAAGTCCACAAATCATAAAAGAGCCAGGTTTGCCTACCCCTGGTCTAGACCATCTCAGACAAGTGACTGCCCAGCCTCTTCTTAAAAGCCTCCAGCTGAAGGCAAAGCTGTTCCACTGGTTGATTGTCCTCACTGCTAGGAAGTTTCTCCTTAATTCCAGGTTGCTTCTCTCTTTAATCAGTTTCCATCCACTGTCTCTTGCCCTGCCCTCTGGTGCTTTGGTGAATAACGTGACCCCCTCTTCTTGGTGGCAGCCCCTCAAATACTGGAATTCTGCTATCATGCCATTCCTAGTCCTTCTGCAACCATTCTTGATATGTTTTAGAGCGGATTTCCTTTACGGAGATGCCAAGTGGGATGCACTCAGCCCACAGTGTAAAGCATGGTTTGCTCAATTTGTAGTTTGTCGATCAAATTTATACACTGATCAACTCACTAATCTGATTAGGTGATGAGGGCTGTGCTTTGCCTCTATGTGCTGAAAATGTTTCAACTAAAGTTTTCCTACTGAAATTGCATTAATAGGAGGACTATGTAGGTTGCCTTTATCTGCTTTCAGAGATGGCTGATAGGGGAAAATATTCTTTAATGTCATGTATTGAAACAAACTGTAAAGCTAGAACTTCAAGCTTCTTTGGATTCAAATACAAGTTTTCCTCATTCATTTGCTGGAATTGGGTATGTCTAGTTTAATGAAGAGAAGGACTAGGGGTGACATGATAGCAGTCTTCCAGTATCTCAGTGTCACAAAGAAGAGGGACTCAAGCTATTCTCCAAAGTACCAGAGGGCAGGACAAGAAGCAAAGGATGGAAACTAATCAAGGAGAGAAGCAACCTGGAATTAAGGAGAAATTTCCTAACAGTGAGGACAATTAACCAGTGGAACAACATGCCTCCGGAGGCTGTAAATGCTCCAACATTGGAAGTTTTTAAGAAGAGATTGGACAGCCATTTGTCTGAAATGGTATAGGTTCTCCTGCTTGAGCAGGGGGTTGGACTAGAAGACCTTCAAGGTCCCTTCCAACTTTATTATTGTTGTTGTTATCTCAAGGTTATACTGATATATCTAGGAAATATGGAATATATGGAATAAATAATTAACAAATATTCAGATCTTATTGATACAAATATTCAGATCATATCAATTCTTCTTTCAGATTAAACCTATATGCCTGACTACGCAGATGTCAGCCTGCCCCCAGAAGACCGGGTCAGAGGTCTTATTCATATGGGGAGTACTGTGGAGGTGAATGAAGATGTTCCACCAAGGCGATACTACCGTTCAGGTGTTGAAATCATCCGAATGGCAACTATTTATTCTGAAGAAGGCAACATCGAACGTGCCTTTATATTGTACAACAAATACATTACGTAAGAAATAAGCTTTGCTCAATTATAAGCCTTTATTCTGACAAATCAATGGAATATCTTTGTGTTGCAAACTAGCTAGCCATCCTGGAATTTGTAAACTTTTTATTTATCTGTAGCCCAAATGAGTTCATCTGTTTTTGCCTTGCCTTTTGCACCATCTAAGTAAAACATATAGGAACCAAAATTACAATTTCTCCAAAGAGTTTGTTCTGTCAGAATGTTGTATGTGTAGGAGCAAAGTAGGTTATAGATATTATAATACAATTTCCTGAAAAGGAAAGATGTGTTTTGCTGCTTATCATACAATGGTTCTGGCTTGAAAACTATTTGATTGGGGGAGGGGGAATTACATAAAAATAAATTTCTCTTGGGCTACAGGACTGGATCTTCAGAATCCTATTAGCAATAGAGATGTAATTTCTCAGGGAGAATTTATGATTCTGTGGCAGATACAACTGATCACCTTTGAAGAAAACTATACTGTGTTACTGCAGTGTAGAAGAGGTTTCCTGGAGCTTCATCTGGAAAGAGAATGTGTGTGGTTATGTGGATAATAAGCTTGTCTCTAAAAATATACTTTTAAGAATCTAACCCTGGGATGTATGGCTTCTGGCTCTGTGGACTTGATCATGTTTCCCCGAAAATAAGACCTGGTCTTATTTTATTTTATTTGCCTCCAAAAGAGGCACCAGGTATTATTTTCCACTCACCTCACAACGGTGGCACCGACAGCCCCACCCAGCCAGCCCCCTTCTTCGGCCAAAGGATCAGCTTCATTCTGCATCTGAAAATGGAGCTCTGGCCTGCATTTCACAGTCAATCCACAGCTCGATTCTTGGCTGCAAAGGCCTTCCGGAAAGGCCTCTGACTATGAAATGCAGGCTGAGCTCAATTCTCAGCTGCAGAATGAAGCTGCTCCTTCCAGCGAGGCAAATATCGATCCACGGGACGCTTGGGTGCAATGGTAAGCTCCACCACCACCCCATCCCCGCCCTAGCTTGATTTTTTGGTGCCTCACCCTAAAACTAGGGCTTATTTTTGGGATAGGGCTTATATTAGGCCCACTCCCAAAAGTCAAGCTAGGGACTATTTTTCGGGGTAGGCCTTATTTTTGGGAAAACACAGTACCATTCGTCTTGTCAGCTTGCCAGGGATAAGGAGTAAAGGGTGGAATAGTGAGTAGTAGAATCATTTAAGAGGATAGTATAATCCACATGGAGCTCCGTTTCCATCTGTCCTGTTTCCCATCGTTTGCTCCCTAGAGACTAAAATGGACGATCTGAAACTTGAGCTGGCCACGAACAAGGAGTGTATATCGGAGGTGGTGACCCTTTGAGAGCTGTATGCAACGAAATTTCATTTTGATGTATGCCGATTGGTGTACATTCAACAATAAAGTTGTTGTTATTATTATTATACAATATTTGAATTTTAAAATAGGGTATAATAAGTAAGTAAATAAATCAAAACATTTCGAGAGCCTCACCTTATTTTTGGCATAAGTATTCTGATTAAAATGTTTAGACATATTCTTAGCCATCCAGGATAAATATAATGAGTACACTAAGCCTAATTTATGCTATCTTAATGTCCCTTTGTGCTCTGTTCTTCCAGGCTTTTCTTAGAGAAACTCCCCAAGCATCGTGAATATAAGACTGCAATCATTCCAGAGAAGAGAGAGACAGTGAAAGTAAGTGATAAAAATATTTTTCTTGTAGGAGTTTCTCCTAAAAATTGCCTGTACATTGGCAATAGGAAAAGGTAAGTTGGCTGCCCAGTTAGCATGTTCAGAAGTCCTCTTTGGAGAGAGTCCTGCATGAGAGTTTTACAAGTTTGATGTACAAACTTGATGCTCCTCCTGTGAAACTGAATATCTCTGTTCAATCTCACATTTACTTTTTCAACTTTGCCAGTGGAAGGTGGGAAGTGCTGTTTGTTTCATTCTGGATGGGATGCCTCTGTTCTTCTAACCAAGCCAAGGCAGTCCATGGCTCATTGTTGTTCATGCCTTTAATTCTGAATTAGTATTTACTTGCAGAAGAGCCTAGGACAGTGGTGGCGAACCTATGGCACGCATGCCAGAGGTGGCATTCAGAGCCCTCTCCATGGGCACGGGCACCCTCGCCCCAGCCCCGCCTCCCCCCACGGCCCCCTCCTCAACAGCAGCCCCCCTGGAGGAGAGTTGCCCCCGGGCACGGCCCATGTGGAGCAGCGCAGCCAAGGACATGGCTGCTGGGCAGCAGGGACAAGACTCCACCCTCATGTCCCGTTGCACGCAGATGTGGGGTGCGGGTGGAGGGCATGGCCACCATTGCGCTGCATGGCCGCCTGGGCGATCATCTGCAGTGGGCTATGGAGGTGGTGGGTAGCTCTGTGGGCAGTCAGGGGGCGGAGCAGTTTTTGGGCACTCGGTCTCTAAAAGGTTCGCCATCACTGCCCTAGGATTTACCAGCTTCTCTGTTCTCTGGCATGGCTATAAAGAAAGCATAAGCATCTACTTTTAGTCTGTAACTAACTTTCCGTTGCATCTGAACTGGGATTGCCCTAATGAGCTTGAGCAAGCCGGGATCATAATTGCATGACATTACAGATCAAACTAGGTGTAAGGACCCGCTTCAAAACCTCATCCCAAGAAAGCAGGACTCTTGGACCTGTTTCATTCAAAAAGAAACTTTTATTAGGAGAGGCTGACAGCAGGCATAGAAGGCAGGATCTGAGGGCTTCCCGCTCAGATCAATAGGTTAAAAGAGCCCCAAGCAAACCCCACCCCAATAGTTCATCTGGTCAGTTCAAACGAGCCAATCCCCAGGTGTTAAGTCTGCTGTGGGAACGGAGCTGATAACGGAGTCCGTTCCCATGCCTGTGAAGACGTTGTTGGGTCTTCGCACCTTTCTCTTCTGCAGCGAGAGATAAGCCAGATGGCCTGAGGCACATTCCTTTCTCACCCCAGGGGAGACATCAAGGTTCAAGGAGCAAGCAGATATAAAGGGCAGAGAGGAAACATTGTAGCTAAGCAAAGGAGAAATAATGCGTTCCATAGGGCCTCCCCCTCAGGAGAATGACAGAACCCACAGAAGAAACTGGAAAAGGACAGAACCAACCCCTCCTCAACAAGGAAATGGGTTCTGACACTAGGATTGTAAATAATGATAATACTGCTTTAATTACTTTAAAGCAGTATATAAACAGGCCAGGAATGTATTAACAAGGGAAATCAGGATAGCAAAGAGAAGCTACTCTGAAAAGCTTAGAATCTGCTCTCAGCAAATGAACCAGCAAATGTGTGGAGAAGCCTGAAGAACATCAATGGCTACAGCAAACCACCTTCCCATGCTGAAGAGAATCGGCAACTGGCAGATGACCTGAGTGTGTTCCTACATTCAGAGGTTTGAGAGGAGATCACTGCCAAATATTGCTACCCTCCCCATCTCAAATACACCAACAATAGCCAAATTTCCTATATCTGACTCCCTCCCTCTTGGCCCCCACCTCTGGTGATCCTAGAAAAAGATGTGCAAGGTATATTTCCTAGACCAACTATTGGGAAAGCGCCAGGCCCATATGGAATAACTCCTTCTTGCCTGAAAACCTGTGCTGAACAACTGGCCCCATCTTCACCTGCAACTTTAATAAATCACTGGAAATGTGTTATGTTCCTTCTTGCTTCAAATGCTCTACTATCATCCCAGTTCCCAAGAAATCCTCCATCAAGGAGTTGAAAGACTAACAGACCGATTGCTCTGACATCTGTAGTAACCTTCGAAAGGTTAGTGTTGGCCCACCTGAAAATCATCTTGGATCTGCTGTTAGACCCCTTGCATTTTGCCTACTGCACCTATAGATCAGCAGATGATGCTGTTAATATAATCAACAGTAGAGATCTTCAAGCTTCTAGGTTCTATGATCTCCAAGGATTTAAAATGGACACCTAATATTAGAACCATCATTAAAAAGGCACAACAAAGAATGTTCTTTCTACGTCAACTCAGTTCAGACTGCCCAAGGATCTGCTGATACAGTTCTACAGAGGAAATATCATGTCTGTTATTTATACTTCTAAAACTGTCTGGTTTGGCACAGCAACCAAACAGGACAGGTACAGACTTCAATGGATAATTAGGACTGCAGAATAAATAACTGCAGCCAGCCTGCCTTCCATTGAGGACCTGTATACTGCAACAGCCAGAAAGAAGGCTGAAAAAATATCTACAGACCCCTCACATCCTGGACAGCTTTAGTTCTAGTTCCAAATGTCTAATTTTGTGCTATTTTTTTCCTTAACTCAGAAACTAAAAGAGGTTGCGTTCCCTAAAGCAGAGGAGTTGAAAAAAGAGCTTTTAGCAAAATACAACAAAGAATATGCAGAGTACAATATACAGAAGGTGAGTAACAGAATGTTCTGGAGCTCTCTGTTGCCTTGGCTGCTGGAATGCTTGGCCCCTAATCTGGCTGTGCCAGAAGCAAACCAGTTGGCTGTCATGCTAGCAATGTAGCTCTGCTGACCTGGATTGATTCTCCTTAATTTCTGGGAATTATGTCTGTTGAAGCGCTGCAGAAGCCCAGTCGGTATCTTTGGAGATACTGGGAGAATGCACAGTCAAGGGACAAAATAAGCTGCATCAAGATAAAAAGTGGGTAGGGCCTTAACAAAAACTAAAAAGATTTAATTTAAATGTAACTAAAATGACATATATCTAATATGGGTATTGTAGGGTATAAATGACGGCAGCTGGTTGATGTCTAGGTTCTGAATCTAAGCAGAGTTGGGCCCTCATTTGTATTTGAATAAGAAACAGAGAAATGTTCTCAAAGAAGTTGCCAGGAAAGCTACATGGATCATCGGATCCAACCCTCTGTCTGTTTTAGGAATCCACTATTGTGACAGCCCTTCCTTCAGTCTCTGTTTAACTACTTCCAGCAAAGGAGGCTCCATCAGCTCATAAGACAGGCTATTCCACTGGTGAACAACTCTTAATATTAGGAAATTCTTGCAGCCAGCCAAAATATAAACATGTTTATATCAATATAAAAATACTTCTGCCCCATCTTTCATCACAGCCTTTTAGAAGGCCGTTAACATGTATGGTTGCAAATTTATTTTCTGGTTAAACATACCTCCCCTCCTTTCTTGTAAGGTTTCCCTCCAAGTGTCTCTTTATGATGGCACACTTCAGTTTGTCACCACCATTCCTAAACTGCAGCGTCCAGTCGGGGTGTGTGTGAGTGTGTGCTGTGCTCGAGGTTTGAAATGACCAGTGCAGAAAAGAGAAAACCATGCCTTCCTTGATCTTGGCAGCCTGCTGCTTCTGTTGCTGCAACTAGAATTCTGTTTGCTTTCTTTTTGCAGCTGCTCCACACTCTCGGCTCATGTTTAGTTAGTGATTCTTTTCACATGCACGGTTGCCCTGTGGATTTTCCCTGGTCCTTTAGTTGCCTTCCATTTTTCCTATTCAAAATGTAGAGCTTCGCACCTGTCTAAGCTGGAACTAATTTTGATGGGTTATGAATATTGTTCCAGCTTGCCAATTTTTCCTGAACTATGATACTGCCCTCAAAAGGTGCTTGATGTTCCCCACTCTTTGTGATTTTAGCATATTTGATCATCTTATTCTCTAATCCATCCCCCAAGTCACTTAGGGTTGAACAACACAAGGCTTAGAAGAGGGTCCCCCCAGATGCCACCCAGTCTCCCCTCCAGCTGATTGAGAAGCCACCGACATACATTCATCCGGTGTGCTTATTCAAGCAGCATTGTAGCCATCAGATAGTGACATACCACAGTCCATCCCATGTTTTGTCATCTTTTCTACTAGGATTTCATGGGGGAAATTGTTGAATACATTGCTGAAGTCATGACAAACTATGTCCACTGCATTTCCATGATCACTTAAACCAGTCGCTTTATCAGAAAAAGGAGATCAGGTTAGCTTGGCATAATTGTTTCTTGATAAACCCATATTACTTTCCATTTAGTCCCAGCACCAGTTCTACTTCTTCTCCCTCCCCCCCTTTTCTTCTTTTTAAATTACTTTTAGCTTCTCTTCCAGCCCAGGTTCTTTTTGTACATTAGCGTTTCTAACTATTTTTCTTGTAACATAATGGAAAGGCAGAGTTAAAAAAAATGCAAACAATATATAGGAAGCTGTTTTATGAGCCGGTCACCTAATGAGTTAAGAGAAGAGCAACAAAGATGATCAAGGGACTGGAGGCTAAAACGTACAAAGAACAGTTGCTGGAATTGGCTATGTCTAGTTTAAGGAAAAGAAGGACGAGGGGTGACATAATAGCAGTGTCCCAATATCTCAGGGGCTGCCACAAAGAAGAGGGAGTCAAGCTATTCTCAAAAGCACCTGAAGGCAGGACAAGAAGCAACGGATGGAAACTAATCAAAGACAGAAGAAACTTAGAACTAAGGAGAAACTTCCTGACAGTTAGAACAATTAACCAGTGGAACAACCTGCCTCCAGAAGTTGTGAATGCTCCAACACTGGAAGTTTTTAAGAAGAGACTGGACAGCCACTTGTCTGAAATGGTATAGGGTTTCCTTCCTGAGCAGAGGGTTGGACTAGAAGACCTCCAAGGTCCCTTCTAGCTCTGTTATTCTATTCTGTTCTGTTCACCTGTTCTAACTATTGGATCAAATTCTCCCAAAGATCATCTCTGCTCCTCAAATCTTGCTCAGTTCTTAACCCAGATTTTTCTGCTAGGGAAAGAGATGCCCAGAGAGTGTTGCTCCTGCTGTCATTTCTCATATGATATGGTGACTCTTCTCTTACCATTCCAGAAGAAGCAAGAGGAGGAATTTGCCCGCACCTTGGCCCTACAGCAACAGCTGGAGGAGGAGAGGCAGAGAGTGGCTCGCATGAAGCAACAGCAGGCCGAACAGGAGCAGTTCCACGCCTTTGAAGACATGATCAGGCGCCAGGAGCTTGAGAAAGAGCGCCTGAGGGTGGTGCAGCAATTTGGGACAGCAACTCCCGGCCCCTTGGAGGATCCCTTAATACCTGGTGTGCTCAAGCCCCCCACCGACCCCCAAACCCTTATGTCTGCTGGTCAACCTTTGAGCCCCGCTGGAGGAAGTGGACTACCAAAGCCGCCCATAGTGGACAGGTCTCTAAAACCTGGCACTTTGGGGAACTCAGAAAACAGTATGTTTTGGGATGAATTTGGTACACCTTCTAGGGAATGCAGTAATAGTCTTGTCGGACTCAAAATAATCCCCTCTCCCTGCACAATCCCATCCCTTTGTTGCAGATGAGGGAATGCTTAAGAGGCCAACATTTGATCTATTTCACATTCTAATTCTAATGAACTGGAAGGTTCTTAGTAGAATATCTGGATTGCTTGGCATTTCTTTTGCCATCTGAAATCTGTTGTTTTCCAAAACTTAAATCCTCCCAAGGTCAAATCTTCTACATGCTTCTCTTTGCATCCCATGACAGTCTCCAACCAGCCTTATAGCTAGCTAGCCTTGTGCCACTATCCTAGAGTTGATTCTTGCCATCTGCCTTCTAAGCAAGGTGGCCTGGAAACAACCACTGGGGTCAGAGGGGACCTCTTTGATTCTCCAGATGAAGGCCCATCCTGTTTCCCAGCGTGCTCCATCTTCTGAGAAATCAAGTTGGGTAAGAGTTGTGCCACTTGGCCTTGGAGAGAGTTTTCCCTCAAAGCCTGGCAGGATGAAGGTCTTCAGCTGTTAACTGGAAAACCCTGACCTCTAACCCAGTGGAGGGTCCTGGCATTAACGGTCTTTGTCCTCGTTCGTGCCACCAAAAGGTTTTCAGATTTTCCACTAAAAGTTTCTAGGTTGTAGATGCTGCTGCTGCAGTGATCTGTTTTTGTAATAGATTAGCAATATTTATTTTTATTGAAAGTTTTAAAAAACCCACAAAAGCTGGAATAGCACAAAACTACTTTGGAAAAAGATTTCCAGCACTGCAATAGGTTAGCTGATTATTCTCACCACTCTTGGCAGGAGTTTGCTCTGGTTAAAATAATGCTTGGCCCTCTGAAAGCATAAATCTCAAGTCCACGTTTTTCTGTGCCCTGTTTTACAAATATCAAGTGAGACTGCTAGACTATGCCTTGTGGGTTGTAGGCAGAGCTTGTGAGAAATAAAACTGTCTCTACCTAGCAAATTAGCAAGTTGGGGAAATGGCTACGCTGGAATTCAACCTATTATTACACCCTGTGACTTTGCTCTTTCCTTACAGATGCAGTTATAGATGGTCTTCGCCACATCATTGTCCCCAGGGAGCTCTGTCATAAATTTCTGCAGTTGGCAGATGCAAATACAGCCAGAGGTGTGGAGACATGTGGGATCCTTTGTGGGAAGCTGGTAAGATGATGGCATAAATCCTCAAGGCTGTGTGAAGTCTCCTGAAATGGTAACTTGATCATTTGGGTATACCCTAAATAGCGATACAGGTCTCGCCATTCATCTTTGAAGGAAGTATGCAAGTATATGAGACAGAAGCAGGCCCGAGTAGTCGGAAGAACTATGTTACTTTTAGAAACTGTTGCCTGTCGTAGTAGACTTTTGTAATTTAAGTATGACTCGTGATCTCACGTTATTATGGCAGGAGTTCCTAATTGAATGAATTGCAAATGGTAAGGAATTTGCCCTATAAATTCAGGGAAAGCAGATGTCCAGTTCTGGTCACCAAGATACAAAAAAGAGGCTGGGACTCTAGAAAGAATGCGGAGAAGAGCAACAAAGATGATAAAGAGAGATTCAACTGAGAAGGAGAAATTTCCTGACAGTTGGAACAATTAATCAGTGGGAACGGCTGGCCTCCAGAAGTTGTGGGTGCTTCATCACTGGAGGTTTTTAAGAAGAGCCATTTGTCCAGAATGGTACAGGGTCTCCTAATTGAGGAGGGGATTAGACCGCCAAAGTCCCCTCCAGCCCTGTTACTCGATGTTCCATGTTTTCTTTGTGCCTGAGATAAGGACAACAACATATTTTTTCGCAGACATAAAAGCAATAGAACTTAGATAGAAATTGGGCTTCTTTTAAACATTTTTCTCTTTTTTGTGTGAGTGTGCTACAAGATGACATCCAATATTTCAGTGTTTCTCAACCTCAGCATGTTTTAAGATGGGTGGACTTCAACTCCCAGAATTCCCCAATGAGCCCCACTAACAACATATATGCTATTTTCTCTTTTGGAGCAAACGGCATTATGCAAAGTGCAGAAAAAGAGTAAGAAGCAATAGGAAAAGAAATTAAAGAAGGTGAGAGGAAAGGAATTTACACCAGCACAACTCACTGCTGTCTATTTCCGTGTAACTTTCTATGTTTGCAAAACATTGTTGCTTCCATTGCATCCCGATACTAATTCACCCGTTGACTTTTGTATTTGAGATGTCCCGTCTCTTTTACTCTTGTGGCTCTCATCCTCTCTGTACAACCAAGGTGCTCTTGGCTTTCCCCTTCCTCTTAACATAGTCACTGTTGGCTGCTGCTTATGTTTGTTTTGGGATTCGGTCCTCGTCCATTTCCTTTATGTGACCAAACCAACATGCTTCTTCTATAGCAGTTTCACAACCTTCACCCATTGGTGTCTCTTTTTGTTCGACCTCACAACTAAATACAGGTAGTCTCGACTTGCAACTACAGTTGAGCCCAATATTTCTGTTGCTAAGCGCTAAATTTGTTAAATGATTTTTTCCCTATTTTGTGATCTTTCTTGCCTCAGTTGTTAAGTGAATCATTGAAGTTGTTAGGTTAGTGACACAGTTTTAAGTGAATCTGGCTTCCCCATTGATTTTGCTTGTCAGAAAATTGCAAAAGGGGATCACATGACCCCCCTGGGACGCCGCAACCATCATAAATGCCAAGCGTCTGAATTTTGATCACGTGACCAGGGGGATACTGCAATAGTCATAAGGGTAAAAAATGGCTCTCCCCCTCCCTTGCTGGTCTGCACAGCTGGAAAGGTTGGGGACCACTGTTTTAGAGGATGCCATATTCCCAGGCCTGCCTAGCAACCATTTACCTGAAAAAGTTATTTTTTCCTGACATTTGGCCTTCTTTCTCTCCCCCATCAGATGAGGAATGAATTCACAATAACCCACGTCATTGTTCCCAAGCAGCATGGAGGGCCTGACTATTGCAACACTGAGAGTGAGGAAGAGCTCTTCCTAATCCAGGATCAGAACAGCCTGATCACCTTGGGATGGATCCATGTAAGCCTCCTTTGCCCAGGCCCTTCCAGGGTCCAAAACCTGCCCTGGGGTGGGTCTCCTGTAGCCGTTCTCTCCCCGAGAGAGAGAATGGCTGCAGGGCAGAGGAAGACTCGTGTGTGTGTGTGTGTGTGTGTGTGTGCGCGCACAAAGCCTCTCCCTGGACAGTCCCTCTGGGCTTCTCTGCTGGTCCGGCCAGCGGCTTCTCTCCCAGAAGCTGTTCCTTCAAAGGAGGACCCCCAGGTGGACTGCCTCTGGGTCTTCCAGTAGATGCCCTTTGCATGCCCTTAGCGAGTGGGGGGGAGACCTCCTGGGAATCTTGCCCCTTCCGCCCACTGAGTAGTCCACTTATGGGAACTTTGATAACAGTTTACAAAACTGTTCATATTTCCTTGTTCATATTTTTAGAAGTTCATATTTTCCACATTTTGGATTTTTTTCTCATTATATACAAAATGTATCTATAAATAAGAATGTGCAAGTGTCTCAAAATTGTACACAAAAACTATATTTTTGAGAATAAAAACTGGCAATATATTAAGGAATACTGCTTAAAAATGTTTATCTCCAGAAAATACAGAAGAAAATTTTTGTTTGGCCTTTTAAAAGACAGAATGGAAAAATGATAAGAAGAGTGAAATTGAAACATACCCCAAATCCCCTGATTCTTGTTTCATTTTAACATTTACCCTCTTTTTTCCTGCTTCAGACTCATCCTACTCAAACGGCTTTCCTTTCCAGCGTGGATTTGCACACCCATTGCTCCTATCAGATGATGTTGCCAGAGTCTATCGCTATCGTTTGTTCACCGAAGTATCAAGAGTAAGTTATTGGACTGTGTCTATCCCAATCTGGTTGATTGAGTAAGATCACAGGGTTGCATTTGGGACTACAAACCCTTTACATCCTGGACGTAAATTCCTCCCCTTGATACAGCGCTATTGGGCACTGCATGCCAAAACAACTAGACACGGGGACAGATTTTCCCTCGGGCCATCAATCTGCTGAACACCTAATTATCACTTATCCTTATTATCTTCTTTATTCCCCCTCTCTTATTGGGATGATTGATGATGGTGATGATTCTGTTGCTTTGCATATACACTGAGAGCTACTGCACCAGAAACAAATTCCTTGTGTGTCTAATCACACGAGCAATAAAGCTATTCTGTTCTGTTCTGTTCTATTCTTATTGCTTTAAGGGACAAGTACCACATTTCAGATGCACTCTGTGCCTCCCTGAATAACTAATGAAATTGGGGAAGATTGTGATTCAGAGGCACTTCAGCTGAATTTAAGCAGCTCATTAATGAGGCTACTTTGTTCAAATCCTGTGGAAATTCTAGTTCTGTTCCAGTATACCTGTTGGGGGAAACGTAGCCAAAATTGAGAAGGTATGGAGCAATACGGCAAAATACAAAGAATGGTCCGTATTGTAGATAAGCAGGGTTCTGGTTTTGTAGGTAGGAAGGAACTGTTCAGTTTTGGACCAGTTTCTTCAAGGTACAGCTCTCCCTCTTCTTCTGAACTTAATACTATTCTTGGCTCTGAGGCCATTTACAGCATTTGGAGCCAGCTGATTTTGTCCACAATTACTGTCTAGGACTGGATTCTTTAAACTGACAGACCATGGGATGGAGGAGATCTCTTCCTGCAGACAAAAAGGATTCCATCCCCACTGCAAAGATCCTCCTCTCTTTATAGTAAGTACCCGAGAGAAGCAAAGGCCAGGGAAGGCCTTTCCCCAGGCCTCGGCCTGGCATGCGGGGCAAGTCCGGCCTTCAGAGTCGCCCTCCTTCTGGCGTTTGGGTGGGCAGGTTTTTTCCTTCGTTGTATGATTTGATCCCTTCAGTGTTGTCATGGAGTTGGACAACCTGATGCATTTCAAAATAAATAAAGCAGTGGGATTTTAATGGTGAAACTCTCTCTGCCTCTTCAGGTCAGGAAACAACTTTTCTCCATCTCTTCCCACCTCCTCTCTAAATTTTCTACCTCCAAAGCTTCCTAAAAGTGTGTCAGACTGCCATAGATTTGACTCCAAACACCAAAACGGGGCCTCCGTAGCATCACTTGGAGGTTCTACAATGGAAATACAGAGCTGAGCATCGTCTGTGTACCTCCTCCGGTGCTGTTGGGTGACCTTGCCCAGAGGCTTTATATAGATGTTAAACAAGGGTAGAGGGAGTACGGAAACCCACAAAACGGGGGCTCGGGGGCAAGGCCTCTTCCCCATCAATACTGACTGGAACTGGTTGCAGAGGAGAGAAGAGAACCAGCACACAACACAGTGCTCCTCACTTCCAGCCTCTGGAGCCAATCAGAAAGATGCCAGGGTTGATGCCAAGAGGTTAAGAACCCCATTCCGTTCCCGCCAGAAGAACACGGCCCCTGCTTTTCTTGTCCCCTGGCCTGAATTCAGACCCAAAGCATCCAGATAACCTGCTTCTTCCAGGATTCTCTGGAGCTGCTGCACAACCGTCTCCTCAGCAACTTTCCCTAGAAAGGAAATGTTGAAAATTGGACAAAACGTGTCCAGAAAGTTGGGTCTTAGGCGGCTTCTAGGGGGAAGGGGAACCACCGCCTGTTTAGGAAAAGGCAGGACAGCCCTGGTCTCCCAGGAAGGAGCCATCGGTTCCAGACAAGGACCTGGCCCTTCAGCGCCTCTATTGTTCCAGACTGTCATGGATTTCTTTTCTCTCTTTCAGACTTGCAACCATGTGACCATCATGGAACAAGAAGTGGCAGTGCTGGACCTTCGATAAGGCTGCCTTTATATCTCTTATCAGCTATTCCTGTCCTTCTTAAAGCTAATTTATGGTTGCTTCTCTCACTTTCTGTGCAGTGATATCCAGAATCTTACCTGTAACAGCAAAGGAATTTTGCCTTCTCTTTGATCACATGCAAATAATAATTTGGGGCATCGCTGAGAATCAGTAAAGCAAAATTATAAACTAAAATTAACCCTAACCTTGATACAGCTAGTCTTGGCTGCTGACAAAGGTTTTTCAACAAACCAGGCTCCAGAACACACACAGAGGCACAAACAAACAGGAACAATTCTTGGAAGTGTTTGGCTTGACTCGGAAAACATCCATCCTTCTGTCTATTAAGATCTTTCTCAACTCTTGCATGTTCTTGGAAAACATCGGTCCCATCGGTGATTTGGAATTCTCACACTCAACTGTGCTGTGCCAAAACTTTGACTTTAGTGAGCAGTAATAAAGCAATTTTTGTGTCGGACAGAAGGAAGTACCCACAAAGAAAACCAGGCTAGTGCCTATTAGGTCTTAGATTCGTCTTTCCTAGATTAGGGGTCCCCAACCTTTCCGATTTTACGGACCAGGGGGGGGGGAGGAGAGGAAACGGTTCTGTGCGAGTGGCAGACGTACACACTTGTGCATGCAGTTCCATTTGCATGAGTGGTGGGCACTCCTGTGCGTGTGTGAAGCTCCATTTGTGTGAGCACAAGTGGAGCTGTGTGTGCTCACTTGCTGCAGCCTTGGGGTTAGGGACCTCTGCCCTAGATAATGGCACCTTGTTCCAAGGGAATAATTCATGTGTTTAAGAAGAGAGAATCAAAGGAGTTTCTTGAAATAACTAGCTAGGAGTTTTTTTTGTTACCGATTCTCCCTTTTTAGGAATCTACATTTTATAAAAACATGTCAATTTAAGCTTAATCTTTCTACGGCTATGCTTTAAACCCTGTGAAGGACTAAACTACCCCATGTAGTCCATGTGCAGAAGAACAGCCTAGTGGAAGATGCAAAACGTGTATTCAAGCCCAATAAATTCCTCTCGTGCTGCTGCTGTGATCCTCTCCTGCCCCAAAGTGAAAAAGAGTGCCCAAAATATGCACGTGACCTCCATAATTGTTTCTTAATAGCAGCTGATGCGAAATGAGACCCTTTCTAATTCCTGATTTTCTCCAGTGACTTCATTCAGTCGTAATTAGTTATATTTCTATGGAGAGAGGCATGAAAATGCCTATCATTTCTGCGCAAATTCATTCATTTACCCTTGGTAGTGTGTTTCTGCTGAAGAACATCTAGATGTGTCACTTCTTACTGAGAATAGGCTAATTTTGCTCCTTGAAAATAGGGCACCAGGCTTCCTTGCTGCATGCCCTTCCCCAGGCTACAGCAGGTTTCAGCCCAGGTGGTGCCTGGGTTCCAAAGTCGGCTCTGGATGTGTGAGGAACAAAAAAGGTGGCTGTCAGAGCTGATTTAGGAGGGATTATTTCACTGAATTGTGCAGCCTTTGATCTGTCCTCTGGGAAAGCCAAAAGCTTCCAGAGTTGTCTTGGGATCTGGCAGGTGAAGGGCAGCAGACATTAGTACTTCAGATTTCCCAGAAGACAGCTGTCAATTGCTACTGATCTTACTCTGCAATATGCAACTGCAGAAGAGTGCTGGAAAATAGAGTGTTACCTGTTCTCTCCAAGGGATGCTTGGCAGACCCTTCGCTATGTGGTTTGCAGTGAGTATCTGAACATGCTCTGGAAATCTTGCATCATGCTAATTAATGATTAATAACTAGGCAAAGTAGGATTTTTCAAACAGGATCATCAATAAAAAATGTGAAGGTTAAATCGGTCCCCAACCCCTGGGCCATAGCCCGATACTGGGCTGTGGCCAGTTTGGAACTGGGCTGTGCAAGTGACAGACCAGCACACGGGCGCAGCCCCATGTGCCCGAGCAGCGGGTACTCGTGTACGTTCAAATGCCTGCTGCTCGCACACATGGAGCTGTGTGTGCAAGTGTGCGCCCCTGTCACTCACGCAGAACCATTTTCTCTCCCCCCCCCACCCCCGCTGGTTCGCAAAACCAGAAAGGTTTGGGACCACTGAGTTAAATGGCAGAAAACCTTAGCTGGTGGCCTCAATCCATGATAGTCAATTGGATAGTGCCAATTCCCAAGCATGGCTGGCCAGCTGCTGCTGCCCAGCCAAAGACAGCTTTGCCCCCGACTCTCAAGGCAGCGTTCCCCCCCCCCCCAGGCCAGGCCTGTTCTATGTTCAGGGCTGCACTCCATGGCGATGGCCAAGGGATATGAACCCAAGGCAGGAGCTGGACTGGACGCCCAGGTCAGTGCTGCCTTATTCAGAAATTGGGGCTGTTTGAACAAAGGCTCCGAATCTGGAAGGGGCAGGGCTCCTCTGGCTGAGCTCAAAAGGCCTCCCTGGCGTAAGCAGAAGCTGACCTAAAGCTCTGAAGCTGCCATTTGGTGAGCAAGACTGTTGCAGAGGATATCCAGCATGCCTTGAGGGTCATCCATTAAATTTATTGCCACAGATCGCTCATTGGGAGCTGTGCTGTGCAGGGCTTCAGCAAAATATCCCCCTCTTTACTGCTCTTTCAACAGGGCACCAACGGACCAGGACATTTGCTGGTGAGGTGGGTTGTGCGGTTCTTCAACTGCACTGATAGCTGGGAACAAGTCTGTGTTCCTCTTTTCCCTTGTTCTTCCAGCCACCTCTGTCTCTTGTGAGCCCAACACAGGTGTGCAGGTAGGAGACCCACAGACAGGAACATCCTCTTCCGCCTTTCTGGCCGAGCCTGGGAAAGGCTGGAACTGGGGGGCATCCCTTCCAGCAACAGTGTTGGATGCAGCAACTTTTGTCTCAAGAGAAGCGCCCATTTGCAGTATGAAGAGCATTGCACAACAGGCCAGTTGTGGCTTGATGGACTTAACTTTTGCAATTACTGTATTTTGCAGATTTGCTTCTGTTGACAAATTTCTGGTACAATTGTTTACAGGGCTAAGAGCTGGTTTTGGTGTCCTGGACAGAGCTTTGCTGTTGACCAAAGGGTCTGTCTAGCCCAGGTTTTTACTTGCTTGAGCATGAAGCCAGGACTACAGCCTCTCCTGGTAGTTTTCTTGGGATATCTGGAACGGTTAGGCCTGTTGCTTCTAAGTAGAGAGATTCCAATTTCTGATATGTGCGTGCTCTTTGTTAGAAGCCGTGTTCCTCCACCACCACCACCCCCAGAAGCAGAAGACTCACCAGCAGCTTTAGGGCTGCCTGCCTTTGCAGCAGAGCCTTAAGAGGGCTCCCTCCCACCTGCCACCGCTGCTTTTAAGATTTCCCCAGAGTTGAATGGAAAGCGGGACCCCCTGGGGATTTATTTCCCTACTCCCACTGCCCCCTCCCTTCTTAGACTCAGCCTCTTGTATGGAAACTTTCTGTCTCCATTCCTGGGTGCCGTTCATCGGGTGTCCATTGTGCCGCCTTCCTGGGGCAGCCTTGGCTGATGGATGCATCCGAAGATGTCCATGGTTCCCACCGCCCTCTTCCCCAGTTCAGCTTTCTGGCTGGAGCATGTTGAACTTTCATATTTTGCCCGTAATCTTGTGTAGACTAAATGAACACATTGGCTGACAGGATGGGGGACAAAGCGCAGCATTTGCAAAGGGAAGTGAAACTGGATTTTAATGAAATTGCCTATTTTTAAGGTGCCACATTTTTTTTTCCTGCAAGTCTGTCTTTTGAGGTTGAAGTCGGGGATCTGGCGGTGAATTTTGCTGTCTGTCAAAAAATACAATGCCAAATTTCTGTCCTTGAGTTTGGAGGCAGGCGGGAAGCTCTGGGAACGAGCTGCTCCTGATCCTGCAAACGTCCTCCTGGCAGGCTCTGTGCCTGGCTAGCCTCCCTCTTTCCTTGCACCCCCCCCTCCCTCCCCAGGAGCCTCTGCTGGGCTCGGAGGCACATTCATTTCCCTTAAAAAGGCAACAGGGAGTTTCTCAGCATCTGGTCGGGTCTTTTAAGGCATCTGCTCTTCCTTCTTCTTGTGTTGCAGATTTTTTTCATCACAGCTGGCAGGAAATGGGTTGTGCCACCCGAAGGAGCCTCCCAGGGACTCTTGGAGGGCCAGCCAGCCCTGCAGACAGAGAGGAGGCTGAAGATGCCTGGCCCATGATTAAAGGGAAGTGTGTGTGTGTGGGGGGGGGGGTCAGGGGCCCTAAATGGATGTGTAAATGCAGGGCTGAGAACTGGATTTGCACCAGGAAGGGGAGGAGGCATTTCAATGTCTCGGAGAGGAACATTTCATGCTTACTTTGCTAATATTCAGAGTGAGTTGAAAGTTAACCAGAAACTTTTAAAAGCTTCCTCGCAGTGGACCAAGGAGCAGAGGGCCCCAGAGCAGAGAGAAGCGGTCCTCTGCTGAAGAGCACCGAGGGTGAACTGACGCCCCTGGCGCATCAGCTGCCAAGGCACGCAGGACTGGAATGGCGATGTGCCATTTGCTATCCCATCTCCCCCCACCCCCACCCCTGTTCTTTAGGGAGAAAGGAGGATGCCCATGTCAGGCATAAGCATGTCTCAGGCCTTCATCCGCCGTTTATCGCATTTCCCATTGGTCCTTGGATGTGAACATCAGCTTTTGCTGTACCAGAAAATGCTCTTTTTCCTAGTAGCCTGGCGGCTTTAAAAGTGGCCTCCGGTTGGGGTTCAGTCTCTTGCTGGGGTAAATCCTTCCAGACTGACCTGTGCCATCTTCTCCCCTTTTCCACGATGAGTGGTCAGCTAACGGCCAGTTCCCCACACCTTTCAATTGCAGTTCGGCCTTTTGGGCTCCTCAAAGTTTTGATGCTTTCAAGGTAGAAACCTTCTTCTCAGAAACAGGGAAGCTTTCACGAGATACAGATTAAGATCCTTCAGGATACCATTTTTATAGTCAATCGGAACAAGGTTTTCATTCAACATGTAACAAAAATATAAATTACTTGAAAATATCAATGTCAATAGCCAATATCCTTCTATTATGCTGAATTATATATAAAATATGGTGTTAAAACAGCCATAAGAGAAAATATAGACCAACTGAAAAGAAATGTATTTTAAATCATATCAATTTACACCCAATCTTTAAAATTCATCCTTTGGCGTCCTGCTGAAATGGTGCCTTATGAAAATCTCTGTGGGGTGATCAGTTCCTAGCAGAGACAGGAGATGGATGGCCTCATATCCACACCGTATCCATCCCAAGCTACGTCTCGGGTGCATCCTGAAAACAGCTCTGTCAAGAAACGAAGGCCGTGTATATTCCAAGCTGGGCTACTCCAGAGAGCCTGTCCACTAGGTTGCCCTTCCTCTGGAGGGAATCCTCTTGAGGCTGGGCTTCTGGCCCCTTTAGAGCTTTCCGAACTGAGTGGATCAACGTGACCTCTTTCTTGCCATTGTTCTAGTCCTTCTTAAAGTGCTTCTCCACACTAAAGTTTCAGGATAATGGTGGATCTGGGTCAAATTCCTTTCTCCTTCTCCAACTGAGGTTCCATCTTGACATACAGATGTCTTGGCTTGATGGCGTGCGTGGGCTTCTCTGCCTCAGCATAAGACTTTTCCTCATGGACACATTAATGTGTTTCTCTCAGATCCTGGAGTGAGGAGCAAAGCATGGCAGAAATAGCAATATTTTGTCTGCACTTTGGCAACAAGGCCTGGCTTCATACAGTTTAAGGCAGGAAAGTTGCAAAGTAGGAATTGATGGATTCTCTTCTTTTGATTTTCTTTTCTCCCCCGGTCATTCTTTAGAACAGGGGTCTTCAAACTTGGCCCTTTTATGACTTGTGGACTTCAATTCCCAGAATTCCTCAGCCAGGCACTCTGCCTGAGGAATTCTGGGAGTTGAAGTCCACAAGTCATAAAAGGGCCAAGTTTGAAGACCCCTGCTTTAGAATGTGTGATGGGGCAGAGTTGGAGTTCTGCCACTGTCGTCTATCAGAAACTGATCTACCTGACCCACAAAGACCCACGTCTCCAGCTGATCAGCCCATCCCAATTTAAACCCTATACCAGTCTGGCCACTATAGGCAAAAGTGTATGTCTTTAAATAAAATTGGTGAGATGGAAAAAATACTACCTCCATCTTAGAGGTGGGGTTGTGGGGTTTTTTTGGTCACCATAAACCAGTATTGCTCAGTTTTAGCAACTTGATGTTGTGTGGACTTCAACTCCCAGAATTCCCCAGCCAGTGCATGAAGTCCACATATCTTAAAGTAGTGAAGGTTGAGAAACAGCCATAGATCAACACATCTCTCTTCCTACAGTGTCTGCGATACTCCCCAGAGTAATTCCCTTGTCTCTTTTGCTGTTCAGCTTCCACATGCAACCGCACAGGGTGGCCATTCGGAGTTCTGGAGTGGAATAAAGTATATCAGAAAGCCAGTGGCCAGCCCCATTCTTCTCTGCCTCTTAGATCCTGAATGGGGTTTAATCCAATTGCAGGCCCAGGAAGGAAGCGTACACCGAGATTAAATCTGTGGCAAAATGAAAACTAAAATCATGAAAACGCTTGTGTTGTATGGTGCAGCAGTCTCCCAGAAAGAGCAGATCCATCGTTTGGGACTTCTCTTTGAACCCTGAATGAACCTCCAAATGGCCCCCAGATTTGCATCTGCTGGCTATAGGAAGAGCACATTTGCACAACTATCACCTATACACACTGTAAGTTTTCCTGGATGGCTCAACTTAACCACAATTTACAAACTCCAGATTTCTGTGGTGGAGTCTTCTACTGCCAAATACTAAGGATTTCAAATCAAAAGATTTTTGAGAAGTTCCGGTTGTGAAATAAAGTGAACAGTGAGTATGGACCTCTCTTTTCCCACAAGATTAGTGGTCAGAAATACAGGTAGGCATGAAGAAACTTATTTTTTAATCACATTTGTAGATCACCCATTCTGAATGACTGCGAGTGGCAAAAAATTGAACCAAATTCACACAGCAGCCTGTAACTCCAGTCTTTTGATTGCCCAAACCACAAACCTTTTTAGCATCTTCTCCCCAGTCTTTCCTGCTTCCAACTGAAGCCCTAAGGACATATTTGCACAATCATTTCACTAAAAATATGTGGAGTGTGAACGGGGACCCATGGAGTGTGACAAAAAGAGTGGGTCTGCCCCATCCTTGCTTTGCAGACACTCAGGTGAGTTTGTGCGTAGGATCTCATCAAGGCAGTGTGCAGATATTCGGATTTAGTTGCCAACTTTGGTGCCTTCTGTACTGGTCTTATGTGGGCACTTTTGGACAAGCATTAAAGGCCATTTGGGTTGCTCTGCTGGGACCTGTCCTGGAAGCAAAGGGGCCCTGCCCAGATTAATTGCCATTTTGTTAGGTTAAGCCTACCACAAATCATGGTAGATGTGTGTTTATTGCAGATCAGGTGCTGGCTCTGTCAGGTGCAAACTTAGCAAAACAAAGTAAAAGGCTTGCAAAAACGAAGCAGACTTCTCAGTGGCAGGAAAGGCACAGATCTGACCTCCAGATCCCAATCCACCCTCAGTCTTCCCAAATTGATTGGTCTTTCTGGGGTGTACCCTCTTGCTTTCAGGCCCATCCCATGGCTCTCCACAGGCAAAAGGACATCCTAGCAGTCTTCCCAGCAGCAGGGAGATCCTTTGTCTTGAAGGATTTGCCTTCAAGAACCTCACTTTTCTGGGAAGCTTTCTCACCTCATTGCCTGGTGCTGCAACCACCTCCCTCCCTCCCTTCCTTCCTTCCTTCCTTCCTTCCCCCCTCCCTCCCTCCCTCCCTCCTTCCCCAATTGTAGCTTATAAGGACTTGCCCCTAACTTGTTTATTGAAAGTGTAGCAAAGAAGGAGCGAATTCACAACTGAGGCGTTGCTTTCCAACTTTTTTTACCGCACACATTTTTCTTACAATTCACCGGGCTCTGTTCTACCATCAGCCAAGGTCAATATACTGAAATAAAGCACCTTATATGGCTAACATGCGACTCATTGGCCTTTTTAGGGTTTTGATTGGGGGAAGATCCGCCTCTGGGGTTTTGTAATCTGACTGGTATTTATACTGAAGGCATCCCCAGAGCAAAGTCCCTGAGGAAAGGCGTTTTCTTCTGCACTCGGTGAGTAAGGTGGAAAGGTTCTGCTCGGGGAGAAGAGCTGGGAAGGATCCGATAGATCCATGGAAGGGCTGCCTCTGAAAATTGTGGAAGTTGGATCCCATCTGGATTGAGAAACAGCAGCCAGGTCTCTGGTGTTTTAGATCCTCTCAAAGTCCCAGGGAATCTTTGCAAACCCTTTTGAGTTACTGACAAAGAGATTGTTTTTAATTTTTTGGCAGGTCTCAGTTGCAGGAGGGGTGAAACACCCTCAGCAGCTACTGTTGTGGCTTCCAGAAAGAGGGAAGGGAGGACCTAAATTGGAGGCTCAAGAAAAGCTGGATCTGGCAGTTTGGAAACAAACGTTGGGGGAAATTGTGTAGCATTTGGATTGCTATTTCTGGATATTGCATATAATTCAAGACAGGCAGATCACATGTTATTCCGTTCCTACTCCCTCCCCAGATTTTTGATTCCATTACTTTAATACATTTGTATTATTTTTTTAATTCCATTGAAATAAGTATCAGTTCCTAAGATCTGACCGTTTGTTCTTTTTTATTGTTACAAAAGCAGGATGTTGTGCCTGGATCTGAAGTATAGGAAGAGGCTGTTTTTTAAAAAGGCAGAACTAGAAAGATTATTTCTATTTTTGGGAAAAGTCTTGGTGTACCTCATGTTTCTCTTTACTCTCACCCATGCTGGAGCTCTCCTCCATAACTGTTTTGTGATTCATGTGCTGAGCTGTTGGGATGGATGGAAAGATCAGAGGTTGTGGCCATCTACTGACAAGGGACTGTAGCAAAGAACCAGGTCTCACATTGCCATGCTGTTGTGCTAAAAAAGATGGATTGTTTAAATTCATGATAATACCGCATCATCTGGGGAAGGAAATTAGACATAAAATCCCCCAAACCGGGGGTCCCCAACCTGCAGGCCACAGCCTGGGGCTGGGCCGTGGCCTGTTCGGAACAGGGCCACGCAAGCGGCAGGTGAGCACATGCATGCAGCTCCATTTGCATGAGCGGCGGCACTCATGCGCACATGCAACGCCTGCCACTCACACAGAACCATTTCCTCTCCCTCCCCCCCCACACCGGTCTGCAAAGCCAGAAAGGTTGGGGACCACTGCCCTAAACCATCATGAATGTTTCTGCTCCTTCCAGGTTTTCATTCAAATACTTCAAGACTTTTACTTTTAGAGAAGCAAATGTTGAGGTTGGGAACATCTTCCTTCCTTCCTCCTTCTGTATCTGCTTAGCTTTAAAAGCTGTGTGGTCTGGGGGACCTTCATTAAGTCCTACCTTACTCAAACATGCATTAAGTCCTGAAGTGAGGAGAGAAGCACAACCTGGACTGGGATAGAGCAAAGACCGGAATCTTTTGGTCTGCAAAAGTGCTGAGCCTGTTTCCTCTGTTGTCTCTTTGGATATTAGAATGACTTCTGGTATCCTTAAAAGCTAAAGACATAAAGCTGAAAGAAAGTTTGATTCAAATGCAGCAGTTATTTTTAGCTAGTTGGCAATTGGAAAAAAACAGTTGATGGTACAAAATATTAATTTAATATTACCCAATAATCTTTAGAGGTAAATATGAAATTGCTCTTTGGTCATTAAACTGCACTGGGTCACACAGGACATGTGGAAACCCTAGTGTGGGCTGGGAATTGCTGGTCAAGAATTCCCTGAATGTGAAGGGATGGAACAGAGCATCCATTTGTTTGGGCTAGACCCAGGTGGAAAGGGCTGCATTTGATTCCAGCAAAGATGCTCACTCTTCTGAGTGTAGAGCGTCATCATGGATTGTACCATAGAATAGAATAGAATAGAATAGAATAGAATAGAATAGAATAGAATAGAATAGAATAGAATAGAATTCTTCATTGGCCAAGTGTGATTGGACACCCAAGGAATTTGTCTCCAGTATATAAGCTCTCAGTGTACATACCAACAACAAAGTGATAAATCACAAGATACCAATAGGAGTAGGTAATAGGAAAGGTGAGAAAGAGAACAGTAATACAGCCATAGTACATGGATAAATATCCTTAGGCAGAAGACAGTGTTGTGGGAATTAGGTTTTAGCAGAGTAATGGCACTGGGGAAAAACTGTCTCTATGTCCAGTTGTTTTGGCATGCAATGTCCTATGGTGGCGTTCTGAGGGAAGGAGTCAAAATAGTTTATGTCCAGGATGTGAGGAGTCTATAGATATTTTCTCAGTTTCTGGTTCATGCAGTATATGGGTCCTCAATGGAAGGCAGGGTGGTAGCAATTGTTTTTTCTGCAGTCCTAACTATCCGTTGAACTGTGTATCTGTCCCGTTTGGTTGCTGTGTCAAACCAGACAATTATAGAAATACAAATGACAGACTCAATAATTCCTCTGTAGAACTATATCAGCAGCTCCTTGATATAATAAGCAGATCTATTTATTTTTGATTTATTGGATTTCCCCCCACACACACACACACACCCCTTTTGTACAAGAGCTCAATGGCAGCCTAGTGCCTTCTCATCAGATTTTTTCAGCAAAACCCTATATGAGGTGCTGTAGGTTGGCTATGTTATTTCAAAGAGCCATCTAGTGGTAGCCAAGACTTCTTGTTTTCTGTTATATCCTACTGAAGTTTCTTTGGAACTTTTCCCGGCAGTGAAATTCTCTTCTTGTATCAGAGGCATTTTGTCTCAGTTGGGCAAGGAATAGCAGCCGGAGGGCACAGCACAGGCAAAATCCCCATTAGCCATCCTGAGTTCATTTGCTACAAATTCTCTTGTCCCCATCCATCGCTAATCCTTCTCCCTCAGGATACAGCTTCCTTGGGTGCACCTGTAAGGTATAAGCTGCAGCTTCTGGTTTGCCTCTCGAAAAGCTGAAATCCAGTGAGGGGGAGCTACTAGGATGTCAGCATGGTGGGTTTTATAGCCAGTACGTGCAGCACACACATATCTTTTGGGCCTTTGGGGCCTAAATAAAATGATTGATTGTTGGACATATAGAGTGGTTTCCTTCCAGTTAGTCTATCAAGCGAGGTTCTCCTTAAAGAATCCAAGAAATTGCATTTGGTGATGTAGCAACAAAACTTTTGCAAGAGTTCCTGATCTGCTCCCACTGGCATTTTCGGAAGCCCATGCTGAGAGACGTGTCTGTGGCTCAATGCCTTCAGAGACCGTTTCCCCAGATGTGCTTTCTTCCCTTTCTGACTTGGATCTGGGGCTCGCTGCGCTACCTGCCATAGGTCCTGCTGCCGCTGCTTGCCTACCCACTCCGGTTCTTCCAAGCAAAGAACTCCTAACCATCAGCTTCCCAGCACAACCAAACCATTCTGTCCTTCCAGGTCCCCTGCGAGGTCCCCTGCACCACTTTTTATCGGAGCCATGTGTGAAGAGGAGACAACGGCCTTGGTTTGTGATAATGGCTCTGGGCTGTGCAAGGCTGGCTTTGCTGGGGATGATGCTCCTCGCGCAGTCTTCCCCTCCATTGTGGGCCGCCCACGTCACCAGGTTGGTATCTCAAGGTCTTTGGGGGGGGGAGTGCAAAGCCCTGGCTAAGGGATCCAGAGCATCAAGAAGGCCAGTTCCTCTCCCGCTGAAAACAACCGCGGGATCTGAGTACAATATCAGAGGTGGTCAGAGAAAAGAGGAGATGAAATGCTACTAATTAAAATCTGAAAGGAAAATGCTTCATGTAAGAACAATCAAGAAAATGTACATTAAATGCTAATAATGCAAAAGTCACACATCTCCTGCGTTTGGGCGGGGGAATGCAGATTTTAAGAGTCTTTGTTTTTCTACTTTTTCTAATCCCATCAGCTTCGGCCTTCTGTGGGGGCTGTGGCTGAAGGCATTTTGTTTATGAATAGGGTGGCCCAGTCTTTCTGAATGGATTACAAAATCTCCATTACAAAAGACTTCAGGCTTCTATTTGAGGCTGTTTTTCCCATTTCTGCCTTTAAAAACATGTTTCTCCCCTTCTCCCTTAGGGGAAATATAATATTCTGCCTCTTTTAATATTCTCCAAAATATTTCAGTCTCTAGGAGGGGAGGGGGCTTTCCATACCAGCTCAGCTATGACAGCTCTCCAATTCTTCTTTGTTAAAGTTTGTGAAAAGGTCGAGCTGCCCTATGAATATTGGACAGCACTTGGCCCCTCTTCTAGGCCAAGGAGTTGAGAAAATTAAACTTTTTTCAACACTTGTAGTAGGTTCTGCCTCCTTTGCCCACTTGCCCTTACCCCCTTCCCGGCCTTTGCTTTCTAGGGCGTGATGGTGGGGATGGGGCAGAAAGACAGCTACGTGGGGGACGAGGCCCAAAGCAAGAGAGGAATCCTGACTCTGAAGTACCCCATTGAACACGGCATCATCACCAACTGGGACGACATGGAGAAGGTGGGCTTTTGCTCAAAGGTTGTATCTGACCTTCAGGTCTGACTGGAAGCAACTGGAGAGAATTCAGGCCTACTTTCTTATGCCTTGATTGATTTGTCCGTTGGAATTTAATCAGCTAATTCAAACCACAACCTGCCAGTTTCCAAGTAAACAAAATCAGAATTGAAGACAGGTGTGCTTTTAATTGAATTCCCCCAGAAAAAAAGCTTCTGGGATGTATGTTAAAGTATGAATCTTTTATATCTAATACACAAAGGACAACAATACCTTATTAAATGTCATCACCACCAATTCCCACTTAAACCTTTTAGGGGCAGCCCCAGCCCACCTGATCTGGCCACGTAGCAAGCTGGTCGGGTGGTCCCGATCCCAGGGCTGCTGGGAAGGGGAAAGCCCCCCACCCCCAGGAGGCCGCTTCCCCCCCATGCAGAGGATGCTCTGTGCTGACTGCAGCAAAGCAACCACCGCACCTCCTGCCTTCCCAGCGTCCGAGCCCCCCACCCCTCCCCGCGAATCGGCAGCCAGGATGCCTGGTTAAATATCCTGCACAGCAGTTGTCCCTCCGCGAATTGCCAGGGAGGAAGGAGCGGGGAAGGAGCGCCCATGGGGGGCCAGCTGAATATGAATGGCCGTGGGGGGCCAGCTGCGGTGGGGGGGGCAGTGCTGCAAATGAAGCTCAGCAACACTGTCCTTTTGTCTAGATCTGGCACCATTCCTTCTACAATGAATTGCGAGTGGCCCCGGAAGAGCACCCCACGTTGCTCACAGAGGCACCCCTGAACCCCAAGGCAAATCGAGAGAAGATGACCCAGGTAAATCCTCCATCCCAAGGCTGCTGTGGGAAAGGGCAAGCGGGCAGAAATCCTGGTTCTGCTGCAAGCTAGTGTCATGGGCAGAACTTGAGATGTTGGTCAACGTGACCTGTGCAAAGAAGGATTTGGGAGACCCAGAAAGCAGGCAGGTCAGAAGCTTCCTAGGCAAAACCAGATAGGGAGATCTCCCCTTGGACGGATCCTCTTCATTTTCAAGAGAGTTTCACAGAGGATTGGATCCCCTGTTTTTAGAGTTATAGAGGGTGCTCCTTGGGTTTTGCACAACAGTTCCCAAGAATTATTGAGAAAAGCCCTTTTCTTGGTGATTGGTTTCTCCAGTCTTGGTCCTGTTCCTGATTGTTGTTTTTCCTCCTCCAGATCATGTTTGAGACCTTCAATGTCCCAGCTATGTACGTTGCCATCCAGGCAGTGTTGTCTCTTTATGCATCTGGCCGAACCACTGGTGAGCGCTTCAGTCTTTATCTTTTGTAACATGCATATATACATCATAGCATTTAATTCATCACATTTCTACACCACCCATCTCATCTGAATGACTCTACAACTACAACTACAGCAAATCCAGAAATAAGTCCAACAGCACTGCTGAAAGGGACAATAAAGCTGTTTAAAGCTGCAAGAACCAGGAAAAGGAGGCATTTGCTTTAAAGGCCTGCTTAGACGTGCTCCATGGACATCTTCTACCAGCTGCTTCCCCTTACCAATCTGCTCCAGCTCTCCCCTGCTGGTACTTGGAACATGACAAATGCAACTTCTAGCCAGGCTGGTTTAATCTCTTGGCTGGATTCTTTAGGTGAAGCCATAGCAGATTGGCTTTATGCAAGTTTATACTGTAAGCTTGTGCTGGAGATCAATACTTAAAATGGGCAAAGTCTCAACGGCCTCTAAGGGCATTTCTCCAGCTACCCTGGACCCCTATGAATGCTCCAAGGGACTTCAGGCTAGGGAAGGGAGGCTGTGACGGCAGCCTTAAGCCACACTCACAAATGGGCATCTCTCTTGAGATTTTACACACCCTGCTTTTGCTAGGAGGTGGGGGGGGGAAAGAAAAAACAACATGTTTTTCCCTTTTTTTAATTTCAAGGTATCGTCCTGGACTCTGGTGATGGCGTCACTCACAATGTGCCCATTTACGAAGGTTATGCCCTGCCTCATGCAATTATGCGCCTGGATCTGGCTGGCCGGGACCTTACGGACTACCTCATGAAAATCCTTACAGAGAGAGGCTACTCTTTTGTCACCACCGGTAAGGTGGGATTGGGACTTCTTGGGTGCTGCAGTGATGTGGGGGGGGGGGGGAGACTGTATTAGCATTTCTTTCTCTGCCGAGGAAGAAAATGGCCCTGCTTTCAGGGAACAAAGCCCTTTGTGCCCATGTACAAAGCCAGGCTGGAGTGAGCATGGTCTGGATGACATGGCGATTGAAAGGATGCACAGCTGCCCTGAAGAGTGTCCTAAAAGAGACACAGCCCTCAGAATGATCTTAAGGGGCTGGGAAAATGGGTTGAAAGCAAAGTTTATCCAAGAACAAGTTAAGGTTTTGCACTCAGGACACAGAACGCAATGTAAGGTGGAGGATACTTTGCCTGGTAATGGCGTCTATGGAACAGTTCTTGGAATAATTGATGGCAAGCTGAATCTGAACCATAAGTATGAAGGGACTGTGACAGTAGCAAATGCAACTTTAGGCTGCATCAACCGAAGTATAATTTCTAAAGCCTGGAAAGTAATCATTCCGCTCTGTTTTATTAACTGGAAACTAAGTCTGATAAAGGTAGATTGAAGGAGCTGCATACTGTATGTTTAGTCTTGAGAAAGGCGAAGTCTGGAGGGAGAAATGTGTGATGGCCCCCTGAAAGATGTCACGTAGAAGAAGCTCAAAACTTATGCTCTCTTTTTACAGAAACTTTCTGATGGAATCAAGCATCTTTCTCTCCTAGAGAGCTAGCTGGGGCAGGGCTGACAATAATGATTAAAACCATACAAGGGTTTTAATTTTCCAGAAGATAGATTCTGATTTCTAAAAAGTCAAGTAGTTTGATCCAGAGAGCTGATGTTCTCCCCTTCACTGGAAGTTTACAGGTGGAAGCAGCAGAGCTTTAATTTTAATTCCTGCTTGGAGGTTGAGTTTGTGATGTGATTGGTGATTTTATGACATGTCATCTCCATGTAGATGAGCCCATTTTATAGGTCTACATCATGACGTCCATGCAAGGAACTCTGTGGCTACTGTGAGGATCAGCGAGTGCAGGTTCCCCCCCCCACAAAGCTACAGCTCCCAGGAAATCATTGGGATAAAGGTCAATCCATAACCCTGCTTTCACCTAAGAGAAAAAAATATTTATTTTATTAAATTAATTTGCTGCTCTTCTAGTTGTCACAGGACCTCGGGCAACTTACAAAATTTCTTTGTTTGTTTATATTTCATCTTTGTTAACCGCCCATCTCCCTCAGAGCTGGTAAATAAGGACACAGATATGCTACCATTATATTTTTTTGTCAATCACCAAGATCTGGATTTACTTTGTCACCCAAACTTGAAACAGCTTGGAGTTTGATTGACACAATAGACCTCAAAGCTTGACTAAAGAGCTGAATGTGCTTGTTTCAGTCTGCTGTACCTGTAATTTTCTCAAAATTGATTATATTTAAATATCCAAAACATTTCAAACATTTAAATCATCCCAGTATTTTATGTTTCCCATGTCATAAAAAAATGCTATACTACCTGTAAATCACATCTCTCTTATTATAAAACCCATTCATGTCCAAAATTTAACTATTTTTTCAACCATATTCAAACAAGTATTTAATCATATAGTACTCTGTTAGGTCACATCATCTCTCTTGAGTCTGGCTCTCTCCTATTCTTATTTAAGCTTAATTTCCCCTCAGTATTCAGAACATTTCTTGTCAATTATAATTTTCTCCAAGTTGATTATATTTAAATATCCAAAACATTTCGTTCGTTTAATTCATCCCATTATTTTTACATTTCCCATATCATAAAAAAATACCATACTGTTTATAAATCACATCTCTCTTACTATAAAACCCATTCATATCCAAAGTTTAACTATTCTTTCAGCCATATTCAAACAAGTGTTTAGTCCTGTCGTACTCCATCTGGTAGGTCAAATCATCTCTCTTGAGTCTGGCTCTCGCAGCCTTCTTTCGCAGGGCAGCTTTCCGGATCAGAGTGTTCAGCTTGCCAGGGGATTCTTCCTGTATTTTTATAAATGTTGTTAAAAATGGGAAAGACATATTGAGTAAGGCACTTTTGAGGGGGAATTTCACCCATTTATATTCGTTAAGAAGCTTCCACTTTCTTTCTCCTTCAATTTCTCTTTTCATCTTTGGTCTCCCAAGCTCTAGTGGTTCTCCTGACATCTCTAGTCCATTTTATCAAAGCTTCTTTCTTATCCTCAGTTTTGTTTTGAAGTCCTGAAAAATAAAATGTCTTTCCCATTTCCAATATTATGGCAAAATCTTGCAGATTTTTCTTTGTCTGGGTTAAACTGTGATTTTCTTCGTTTGTAGCTTCCATCTTTGGGTTATTGCTTGGCTTTTTTTATGGCTGAAGCACAGGGCTGGCTCACGTTTCAGTGATGGTCCACTAAGATCCCTCTCAAAGTTCCTGCTATGGAGCCATGTTTCACCTAATCTGTACCTGTACATCTGGTGTTTCTTGCCTAAATGTAAAACTGTATTTTTCTCACCACTGAATTCCATTTTGTTAGATAGGGCCCACCGTTCACGTCTATCAAGCTTCATCTGGTTAAGCCTGTCTTCTGGGGAGTTGGCTGTGCCTGCCAGCTTGGTGTCATCTGCAGATCTGAAAAGTTCCCCTTCTATTCCCTCATCTAAACTGTTTATGGAGATACTGAAGAGTCCTAAAACAGAACCTTGTGGTACCTCACTGCTTACTTCTCTCCATGTAGATGTAGTTCCATTAAGGATTACTTGTTGAGTGCAGTTTGTCAGCCAGTTACAAATCCGTCTGGTGGTGATGCTGTCTATTCTGCATTTTTCTATCTTACCAAGATTTAGGTTGTGGTCTACGTTGTCGAATGCCTTGGTGAAGTCTAAGTATACTATGTCCACAGCATTTTGCTGGTCCACTGACTATGTCATTTTATCAATTTGTTTGGCATGATTAATTTTTGACAAACCCATGCTGGCTTCTAGTTATAATTTTGCTTGCTTCTAGGTGTTGCTTGATTATCTTTTCCAGTATCTTCCCGGGTATTGATGTTAGGCTGATTGGTCTGTAGTTTCCTGCATCTGTTTTTCCCCCTCTTTTTTGAAAATGGGAACCACATCAGCTCTTTTCCAGTCCTCTGGTAGTTCCACGGTGCTCCAGGATCTTTGTAAGATACGGTTAAGTGTTTCCATAATCATTTCTGCCAGCTTCTTTAGAACCCTGGGATGTTCAGGACCTGGTGATTTGAACTTGTCTAGAGAGGACAAGTGTTGTCTTATCATTTTGTTGCCGGTTTTAATTTGTATTCCTAGTCTGTCTTTTGTTCTGTTCTGTTTCTATTAGGTTGGGCTAGTTTTTCTTTTTGTGTGAAGACAGATGCAAAGAAAGAATTACGCAGCTCTGCTTTTTCCATGCTGCCCATTACTTCCTTGCCATCTTCTCCAATTAGTGGACCAATTGTGTCCTTGACTTTTTTTATATATGTTGATAGAAACTTTAAAATTATTTTTGACATTATATTTTGACTTAGTTCATTCTGAGCCTTTGCTTTCCTGATTTCATATTTGCAGATATAATTTGCAGATTATATATTGGTATGTCCCTCTTTCCATTTTTTATACTTATCCTTTTTGTCTTTCAGTTTATCAGAGAGAGATCTTTGTGCAACCATGCTGGTTTCTTCTTGGATTTCTGTTTTTTCTCTTTCAGTGGTATTGTGCTGGACTGAGCTTTAATAATCATATTTTTTAGTGTTTCCTGAGCTTCTTAGTTGTTTTCCTGTTTAAGATTTTCATCCATGGAATCCTTCGCAAGCTCTCTCTAAGTTTGTTGAAATCAGCTCTTTTAATCTAAGACCCTAGTTTGATTACATTCTATTGCTTGTGTTTGCATTATATTGAATTTCAATATGAGGTGGTCCCACTCCCCCAAGTTTCTGCAACTTCAACCCCCTCTATCATTTCTTCTCTCTTAGTAAGAATTAGGTCCAGTATAGCCTCAAGTTCCCTCCTCTACCTTTTGGATGACTAAGTTGTCAACTAAGTTAGTTAGGAATCTGTTCAATTTCTCACTTGGTGCAGAGTTTGTTTCCTTACTACTGTGGTGTGTTTGTTAATGGGCAAAAAGTTCATTTATTTATTCTGCTTGGTTGGGTGGCCTGTAGTATCCCCCTATGGCAATGTCATTCTTTTTTCCTTTTATGTTGACCTGTATGCGTTCTAGAGGACTTTCATCCTTTGTTGTGCGCATCTCTGTAGAGAGGAAGTGATCGCTACATATAACACAACTCCACCTTCTCTTTTATTAGGTCAGTTTCTTTTGAATAGTTTGTATCCTTCCGTCAGTGAATTCCAGTTGTGAGTTTCATCCCACCAAATTTCAGTGATGGCAACTATATCATACCTGCCCTCCTGTACTAGTACTTCAAGCTCATCCTGTTTGTTCCCCAAACTGAGTGTTAGTGTACAGGCATCTCGCTCCCTTGTGGCTAACCCTGGGTATGCTTCCTACATCTTCTACTTTGCATCTGAGTTTTTCTTCCTTCCTTTCACTGCCTATCTTCTTGTTTGGCTGGTTGTCTTGGGGTTTATGCTTGGTATTAAAACCTAAATATCCTAAAGATTGGTCATCCTCCCCCCTCAGTTTAGTTTAAAGCCTGTCAGAGAAGCTGAGCCAAATACATGTTATGTTATGTTATGTTAATTTAATTTGTATACCGCCCTTCTCCCATAGGACTCAGGGCGGTTCACAGCATATTAAAAAACAAATACTATACACAAAATACAAAAATACAGAAATACAAAAATATAAACCCCAATAAAAGCCGAATTAAAAACCAAATATTGCCAGCTGTGTTTCCGATTAAAATTACTTTTAAAA